GAGAGAGAGAGAGAGAATGAGTGGGAGGAATGGAGGACCTGCACTAAAATCGTTCGGGAAAACTCGGAAAAACAAAGAATTAGAAAAAAATGCGACTTCAAAACAAACAGTGGGTATTGGAAATAGTTTGAACGACTCACTTTCTTGTCACTGGAGTGTTAAATCCATGCAAATATTCAGGAATTTGTCCCGGCTATCATATTTTGCTGAACAAACAGTCGAATCATTTGGCTTCAACTTAGGCAGTTTTGTTTACATTTTCTAACCTACTCGTTGGTCTTTTTTCTTCACCCATCATAAAGCAAACACTTTATACGAACGATTATAGAGAAAGATGCTGTGACATGACGGCGTCATGAAGAGGATCATTTTATGACGTCGGAGATGAACTTTGTTCGCACTGTTTATGTTTTAACATGATTACTACAGTACTTAGAGACAACGATGAAAACGATGACGGAGGCGATGGCATGAAGACAGGATAGATGACTGCCAAGGGATCGGAGATGAATGAAATGACTGAATACTGATGACTCTCGTAAGGGCGATATAAACGACAGGATGTCGAACTCGTCCGGCATCTCACTGCATTAGGCGGAGGCGGAGGCGGAGGCGGCGGCGGAAAGCCGTCGCGCGTGCCGCGATCGATAGTGGAGCGGAACGGCGTCGTGCGTCTTCTCGGATTCATCCTCGACCAACCAGCTGGTCGCCGTCGTTCAACACCAGTCGACGACAACAAGTCGAAGCCGATCCAATTCGAACGTTCCAGAATCGTTCATTCGCTTTTGCACAATCAAAGTCGTAGCTGATGATGCTTAATGTGACATCGTGTGCGATGCGTATTCACTACGAGTCCAATACAAACCGTGGACTCTATGAGTCACATATGACTCGCATATAACCAAGAATGGTTTCGGATTTCATTTTTACGTAAACGTCTCTCAACAGATAGCAAGCTTTACTGATGGAAACTATGGAAATGTACGGGATCATTGTTAGCAAGATACATACTTACTTATTCCATCAAGATGAAATTCTATTTTCCTAGAGTCCACAATTCCTATTCCTACACTCTTTCTCGTCGATACTCGTTTTCTCGAGTAGCGAGATGATTAAACAAACGGGGATTTCGTCTAATCGGATACGGCAGCATTCCGGAATGTACCGCACATGATTGTGGCTGTCCGACTTGCGTTTAAAATTTTGAAGACATAAGTTTCTCTCGAATTTCTTTTCGAAAATTTGCACTTGGGACAATTCTTGGCGCGATATGACAAAGTATCTCATATCAACTTGTCAAATCTTCAGATGCTCAATAACTCTACTGAAAAATCATCGGCAGTTATCGAAAAGCAGAACAGTTGTGAGGATGGTAGAAACAGTTGGCCGCAAAGATTTCCGTTGCTTCTCGAAAAAGGCCCATGATGTGCATTGCACTCTTCCTGTCGCCTGTGATAAACTAAAGCGCATCAACAACAGTTAATGACAAGTCACGTTGCACTTTGCTAAGTAGAAGACTAAGAAAAATTCATGAAGACATGCGAAAGTGAGGCATTTGGCCATTACAGATCCGGAATAAGTTAATAATCCAAAGGATATCTAACATCTGATGATTCCATGCCGGGGTTCGGCAATTAGCTCCGCCCATGCGACTATTGCAGTGCACCGTGTCGACCACAACGGCAACAAACAAGGAGATAGCGCTTATCTGGGGAGCAGCGCACTTCACCACTACACCATCCGGGTCCCGGATGCTCCCCGGTAAGGACAACAGCGCGTGTTCGTTCTCCACTGCATACACCTGTGGTCCGGAGTTTTGCAAATATCTCAGCATTTCATACGAGTTATAATTCGAAACATAACCTGCCATTAAGAAGAAAAAGGCAGTAAATAAAAGAGTTAAGATAGCGCTTATCATCACATTTTCTCGTTTTTTTGCTATTTGATTTACACTTGATACCTTAATAATGGATTGGAGCACTGCAAGAGCAGATGTCGTGTCCTTTCGCTATCACTCCAATGGTTTTTCTTACACGGATGTTTCGGATCCTTCACAACTACGTTTTGCGAGAACCTATCGATTTTACAGGATAACATCCGTGTAAGAAAAACCATTGGAGTGATAGCGAAAGGACACGACATCTGCTCTTGCAGTACTCCAATCCATTATTAGGGTAGCAAGTGTAAATCAAATAGCAAAAGAACGAGAAAATGTGATGATAAGCGCTATCTCGTTGTTTGTTGCCAAAAAAACAAATGTTGAAGGTAACCAGTCCGCTTTAGTTTGCTCTCCTTCTCAGCTTTATCATTTGTAATACCTGATAGCTAAACGGAAGGGACGAGATTCCATTCGTATACTTCTTGGCGAACTTTTCTCGTTTGAATGAGAGACAAACTGCTACACTTTTCGGATGAAACCCTTAAGTTCAAGTGCTTTTGGTAGAAAGTGTAGCCACAGCAAGCTGCCCCGCTTCCACCATGAGAGGTCGGGAATACTCATGGATAGATTACGGAAGTATTCTAAAATATACACTGGGCTTATTAATTCTTTCACAAAGCTGGTTTTTTGATAACTGACAATAATTTCACGATCACTAGTGTATTTCAGAGCTTCGAAACTTCATAGAGGTATGAAAGAGGTTTTGCTGCATCGCACTGATCCCATAAATATTTTTAACATAGTGTCCCTTTAAAGTTAAATGTTTAGAACTGAGCTTTCAAAAAATTTAACGGCAAATTTTATTTTTTCGAATTCCCACCGGAAAAGTAGCAGCCGCAAACAAAGCCGATTCAATGGGGAACACCATCGTTTCCTAAGGGACGAAATCCTGCTCGTTCGTTTGCTCTGGCCTTCGAAATGTGAGCTTTGAAGCAAAAAAAGTAGAAGAAACACATGCATCCCATTAAGTTAGAACTTCTCGTCATGCTGAAACAACAGAACGTTTATCCTGTGTAAAAAGATTTCCTTATTCTAAAAGTTTGTACTAAAACCAATAGAATTCACCATGAACTAGTTCTATCGATTTAAAATTGAAAAGCGACCATTTGCTTTAGAATCCTATGACTCCTATAGATGTCACGGCGCTGCGTAGGTGTTAAAGTGATGTTAAGTGTGATTTAAATCACCATCAGGCTGAATATAGTGAGGCCTCATGACTATGTTCTTCTTCACATGAGGATGATATAAGCATTCTCGAAGTAATTCCAATGGAAAAAGTGAAAACTCGGACAAATGTCTTTGCTTTTAATTTATTGCCTATTCTTTTTCTCAAAGAATACTTACTTAATTTGGGCGGCCGATCTTCAAAAGTTGTGCGCACCTCAGCATATTTTTCACTCGTTTCTTTGCTTAGCAGTTTCCGTCCATGGTGGTGGTTTGACTTGACCACGGTGGCAGGTGCGAGTCTCATACCGTGATATATAGAACAACTGCAGCAGCGAGTATAGCTGATTAACTTTGGTTACGAACACATCCGCGCAACGCGTAGGTTGCCGTCCATGGAGACGTCTGCATTCTCGTGGAGTCCCTCTGCAGTTCTTTTTGTCCATCTATCGTCTGTTCTTCTTATTATATGACCGGCCCATCAATGTTTTACTATCAGTGCATATTCGGCGAAATCCCAAAGATGAGATAGATTTCGAAGATTTAAGCAGTGCATTCCGGCTAGACATTGTGAGTCCCGGCTAAGTCTTAGGAGATATCGATCAAGAGCTTTTTAGGTGCTGTGCGGAGTTCTTGATGTGGCTGAAGCAACAGCGTCCGTCTCTACTACATAACAGAGCGTTGGAGGGAATGTTGAAATGAAAATAAAAGCGCGGATTTACAGATTCTTGATTTGGTCAGCGGCTTCTTGAGTGGTGAGAATGTGGCCCATGCTGCTCTCTCTCTTCTGTCTAATGCATGTTTCATGTTTCGTTCATGTGTCGTGTCTCCATGTTCATCGACTGTCCAACGTACACAGGTGGCTTCTGTAATCACAGAACCATCCAGTTTGATATAATTTCGTTTGTACCATGTGTTCTTCATAAACTGGTTGCCTTCGTCCTATAAGGTTGCTCAGAAATACATAGACGTCTTTGACTATGTCATTTAAAACGTCATAACTTGTTTCAAACAAAACTTTATTAATCAAATTAAAAACCACTTGAATCTACACATTTTTGCCAACGAGAAACAAATTTAATTATTGCAGTTGCACAAAATTGTAGAATTCTGGAAGCGATGAGTTCGCTGAAGGCATTTTTTGTATCATCGTGGTTGGTGGAGCATTTCTCTCGCAGGAAGTTGTCAAGCTGCCTGAAGAAGTGATAGTCGGTGGGCGAGAGGTCTGATGAAAATGGCGGATGACGCAAAGTTTCGTTTCCCTACTCGTTCAACTTCTGCAGCGCTGGATGCGCAACGTGAGGCCGGGCGTTGTCGTGGAGAAGGACTGGTCCTTTTCTGGTCCCCAATACCGGTTGTTGTTGTTGGAAATTACGGTGCATTTCGTCGATTTTTTGGCAGTAGTTCTCTGTCGTAATCGTATCGCCCGGATTCAAGAGGCTGTGATGAATCAGCCTGGCTGTAGACCAACAAACCGTCACTATAACCTTTTTTGGTGCAATTTCGGCCTTGAGAAGTACGCGGAGCCTGATCGCAATCCAACCATTGCAATCCTGAACGTCACCATTTGTCGTACAGAATCCAGTTCTCGTCGCACATCATAATTCGATCAAGAAAATGGTCCTTTTGTTGCGCAGAATAATAGCGCATGAAAGACACTTCAAAACGGCGGCGATTTTTTTGATTATTGCTAAGAAGTCTTTTTCTAATATTTTTTGGTTAAGAAGGTGATACTGCCGAACCTTCAGCCAGTGTTGTATTGTATTGTGTTTTTCCATGGAAATAAATGCATGCTGTTTAACAACCTTGCGATTGCTGAACAAGGAGACGACGCGTTCATATTCCATTGCCGACGTTAATAGAAAGTCGATCCGGGGAACTGTTTTTTGATTGTTATTTAATTCGTGCGGCACCACTTGCCGAGTTCTTTCGTCTTTCCTATGCGATTCAAGTGAATGGGAATTCTTTCTGTGCTCAGACCAAGCCATTCTGCAAGCTCTCGGACACTTCTTCGCGTGTTTGCTTCCACTAGCGCTTTCAATTCATCGTTGTCAAGTTCATTGGGACGTCCGTGGCCTTCCTTAACTTCGAGATCGAAATCACCAGACCGGAATTTCTGGAGCCATGCTCGCACTGTTGATTCACCAACACCCCAAATTTGATTAACGTTTAGAGCCGTCTCTGCTGCACAGCGACCGAGTTTGAACTCATAAAAGAAAATTTGACGAAAATTCGTTTTTGACATCTGAAACTTCAAGGCTCAAAATTGGTAAAAAAAATCTAACTTTTGACAAAACATAGAAACATGTAGGAAAGAGATCAGCTTATCTGCTAATGATATATAATATTACAAGTATTATAATACAGCGAATATATGAAAAGTTAGATTTTTTTGCCAATTTTGAGCTTCGAAATTTCGGATGTCAAAGACGAATTTTCGTGCAAAGATTATTATTAGTAAAAATACATCAAAACAATGAATATTTTAGGGCACTCATTTATTTCTGAACAATCTAATATTTATGCGGAAGCCAACATCTTTTTTCCACTTCATTGAGCTCGTTGTTCATAGCCTCTGCTTCATTGGTTCTTCATGAGGAGATGACGATACCCTCAGCAAAAGAAGATTTGATAGTAGTTTGTTGTTAGTATGAATGCTTTTCTGGTCACATTCGAGTGACTTCGCTATCGGCTCCAGTGCAGCACTAAACAGCTTCGGCGTTATAATATCGCCTATCCTTTTTTCTATATATATGGTAAGAGGTCAATGGAAAAATTGTGTTTTCGCAGTGCACATCCAATAACCAGGGACGTGTGTAGTGCAGTGGTCTGAGACATCCCACAATACACGTGGGATCGACCTCCACGCCCCAGGCTCACCAAGCTGCATTCAGTCGTCTCCAACGATGCTTAATGAAGTCGAATGCATGGCGCATCCCTCAGGGATTGATCAACGTTGGGAGTTTTATCCTTTTTTAACATCCAACAACACTCAGATAGAGTTCCTATGTGTAGGACGGGTCCACTCCTTTGTCGAAAATCGCTGATAGGATTTCATTCGTTTCGACGATGTTAAACGCTTTTTCCTAATCGACAAAAGTCAGGAGTGGGGTAAGCCGTATTCCTGAAAAACTTCTATAACTCTGCACACCGTCTGAATGTAGCCTATGCAGCAAAATTCTCCTCTAATTCCTAGTTGCGTAACTGGTTTTGCGTCATACAACGTTCTTCCAATGCATGAGAGGGTAATATTCGTGAAGACCTTGTAAAGTACACTCAACATGCATGTTAGGCAATAAATACGATTTCTTCGGCAACTTTTCCTGAGCAAGATGACCGTGCTCGGGATCTTTGGAATTTTCTCCTTCTGAAAGTGAAATATCACATGAGTTGCGAGAGGCACATGTAGATTGTGAGTTCCCGCTCTAAGAAAGTCGTGGGTGATATTATGATATTATAATATATATTATGATATTATATATGCGTCCGTATATATTATATTATATTATATTATATGGTGATATTATTGCGTCCTGGAACTGTGCCTCTCTTCATGATTCCTATTGCAACCTGAACTTCAAGTGAAAGGATCCCAGGTGGTTTCTCTTTAGCCAGGATTTTAAGGCCCGGCTCGGCGATTATGCTACGGAAAAGGTTGATGTGCAACAGCTTCGTTACCAATTGCATATCATGGCGGCAAGTTTTAGAGATCCAGCTTTATTCATCAGGGTTACTAATGAAACGTACTTGCAGTCCTGACGGCATTTCTTCATATTGGTTCTTTTTTGTGCCGCTTCTAACAGTTTCTTCTGTCTGTCCCGAGACAGATCTTCCTCCAAATCTCTTCTGTAACTAGCACTTATTACCAGTCGCGTTAAACGTGCTGCAAAAGGATCAAGCTTTAGGTTCATTCTCTTCATGAGCAACTCCTTGTTGGTAATGGATTTGCGACCCGATCTTCTTGCTTGTGGAACTGAGGTGAATTCGATACTACATGTAAGTCTTTTGACAAGCAGCTTGTAGTGCTCGACCGTGATTTCCTTCATCTGCCAGTCTTATAAGGGCAGGGTTTTACTTCGCCATATACGACTCGTTTCGTTTTTTATTCTTGGTGGATGACACGAAATCTTTTCTAGCTTACAGCTAAATCGAAACTTCGCGTAAAGAAGACGGTGCTCGCCACCAGTACAGAATGATGGGACTACCGATATGTAAAGCGCGCAACACCTTCTGTTTGTGAAAATATAGTGGACGTCCGCACGAGTCATGCTGTTTCTCATTTCCATCAGCAATTTTCTCTCCTTTCAGCAACGAAGTTCCATGGAAGTGTAGTGAAAGCGCCCAATGCATCGAAATGTAGTGAAGAGTTCGTTGGTTGTGTTTGATGGTAACTGACGTTGATTTACCCTCCGACATGCATTGCCGTATTTCACTTCTTTGAAGATAACCTTCTCGATAAATTGCAAGAGTTGCTCCATCTTGAACGGTTTCTCCATCACGACGTCTTGTTTCTTTTCGATAGCCTTGCGGTGCATGCTGTTAGGAAATTTAGTCAATAATTTCTTAAACATACGTTGGTTGTCCACGTTTTCCACTTTTGCTGTTAACTCTGTTATTATTATGTTAACTTTTTATTTACCGCTTATTACAATCTTTCAAATTAACTTTGTGATTTCGACTACAGCCTCAGCTTAGTTCTGAGTTCGTTACTGATTTAGGCTCCCTCGATCAATCCCCCAGACGGGTGATTCCTGACGGCAAAAGATTGATAGAACTAGCTGAGAGACAGGCGAAAACGAAGGATGAGCATGGTGTGATGGTGAAGGCGTAGCCACCGGCAAAGGTAATAGCGCATTCGTTTCCCACCGCAGACACCTGCGGTCCCGAGTATTGCAAATATCTCAGCATCATTGTATTACTATTAATTGTAAGTGTTCGAATGGTTTCCGTTGATCGTGAACCATGGTAAGACGAAGCTGACAACTGTCCACTTTGTACATGAGTGCTATTATGAGCTCATCCGATACTCCGTACTTTTTCGTGAGAAATTCAACGGCTTTAGCATAGTACTTCTTAGTGAGTTGAAATTTCTTCACCGCGTCGAGAGTTTCACCTTTCAGCAAATTAAGCAAGTAATTGAATTTGTATAGCTCTGATATGCTCTGCGAATGCATGTTCAAGTTGAATAACTCCCAGAAATGATCCCACTTTCATGCGTTACCACTAAACGTTGGCATAGGGAGTGTGGGTAGTTCGAGACGTGTTGTTGCAGTCGTTCGAGGGAATTCGACTGCTTGGATGTCTTTTTGCACCTCTGAAGTAGAGATTCTTTGTCTTTGAAGTATTGCTGAACTCAAAGCTTTTTAAACGACTCTTGAGTCTTATCAAGTAGTCTTCAGCTGAATCGGTTATTTCCTCTGCCTTACTGAAATGTGCTATTTAGCTCAGCAAAACTTTTTTCATACTTCTTTAGTGGTTGGAGATGCCCTGCAGTACACACGTGGAATCGATCCCCGCACCCATCGCCCACCAAGCCTCCCGTCCCTCCGGAGTCGGCAAATTAGTACCAGACTGGGAGGATGGCAGCACTGACTCGATACATCGGTAGGCCATTGCGAGTCATTGTAAAGGCCAGATATGCATTCAATCACCTCCAAACGATGTTTAGTGAAGTCGAATGCATGGCGCTTGCCTCAGGGATTGATCAACGCCGAGAGCTTTATCTTTATTTATTTTACTCCTTTAGCGCTTCGTTCGGTTTTGCAATAGTTTCTTCGATGGCGAGTACTCCATCATTTAATCTAAATATGCTGTCACATATGAAGGTTCGTGTTATCTCTCTATCACCCGATGACTTGCTGAGCACTTCTAGTTACTCATCTTTGAGACGCGACAATATCGTTTCAATCTTTTTACTATATTATGTAGTATGTTGTTTTAGAACTGCCAATGGGCTAATCATGACAAATTGTAGGCAGTGACTATCTTCATGGAACAGAAAATTGTAAACTCACGAAAGTCACCAAGCTAAGATGGTAGCTGTGAAGCTGAATTGCGAGACTTGCCATTGTTAGGCCCATTCATGCGGCCAATGAAAGAAAATCGTGAAGAGGAGGAGTCCTGCAAGATGGTTTCCATTCTCATTTCTTTTTCATAATCCAAATTTTCCGACCATAAATTCGCCTTCGTTGGCCTTCGTTATTCCGTCGATGAAATCTCTGACAACAAATTTGTAGTAGGATTTACCGTTACGGATATCCTCCTCCAACCGATAGTAAATCGCTCCTAATTCGGATTCATCAGTTCCATTGATCGGTGAGTAGTAATTAATAATAGTGATCTTATGACGCTTCGGTTGAAGATGGAAAGGGGACATGAAAGGGGAAGTGATCTCGTGCGAGTCGTTGAGATGGACAATGGACGGGTGGACGACAAAGTTTACGCATCGACATCTTCCTACGGGGATCCTCTCACCACGGGTCACAAGGGTCCCGTTATTTGGTTAGCGGTTTTCTTGCTTTTTGTTCCTTGTAAAGGGCGATCACTTGGAATTTTACGCCATCTGCGGGTTGAAGCAGAGCGTGAAGGTCCGCGTCTGAAGAATGTTCTGGCTTCTGAGGAGCACAAATCAGCAATAAACCTAGTGAAACTGAGGTTTTAACCGAAATTACAATGTTAACTTTCTACTTTATGCCTAATCCAGTTTTTCACGGTAAGGTCTTATTTGGAATGGGACCACAATGATGCTCAGATATTTGCAGAACGCTGGATCGCAGGTGTCCGTAGACAGTAAATAAAAAGTTAACATTGTGATTTCGACCACAGCCTCAGCTTAGCTGGGTTCAGTCCCGATTCGTGCTTCCCAGATCAATCCCGTTGACGGGTGATTGCTAATGGCACTGTTAGATAGAAAACTAGTTAACAGATAGGCGAAACTAAGGACTCGCATGGTGTGATGGTAAACACGTCAGCGCCGGGAAGGGTAAGAGCGGGCTCGATCCCCATCGCAGACACCTGTGGTCCGGAGTTTTGCAAATATCTAAGCGTCATTCTGGTTGTATTTTACACAATGCCCTGCTGTGAAAAAGTATACAGTAGGAATTAAATAAGAAGTTAACACTGTTTTCTTATAGCCATTACAAAGTTGCACTTAACCTGTTTTGAGCTTCTATTCTGAAATTCCAACAATTTCTAAATCTACCTTTCATATTACGGTAGGAGTTCAGCGTATACCACATATGACAAAGGAATGGAATTTTAAAATGATATGTTCCATTCATAGCGAAATCTCTATTAGATCCAATAGTAAGGCAGTCACTTCACTATTCGATAGTTTAGTTTAGTGAAATGACATTTATTAGACATGTGGTACCCCAATGTCTTTACCAAATTTCAAACAAACGCTAAATAATGACATCTATCGGGATCGATTTTATTTAATGTTTTACAACTTAAAAGTCTATCAAACATTTGTGCTGTGACTAATTCTCGAGGATTGTCGTTTTCTGTATGAATTTCTTTGAATCCTGGTCGAGTCTGTCCTCCTTGGCGTCCTGGGATAGCCGAGTTAGAGCATTCTCACTTGAAATTCAGGAAATGACCTATTCGCAAACAAGTCTAGTACGAATTTCATGACAGGCTTGGTGAATCTGACAAGAGCTCACGCAAGGGGTACGTGGTATTTTGAAAAGCACCTCTAACCGCTAAATTTGCGTGGATCAGAAGCACCATTCACACGCGTACGACTTCGCCAATACGATCAATATCTAACATGCAAAAGAAATTGTCATAGAAATCGCAACGCCAACCGAAGAAGTCATCCACGTCTTCAACTTTTACTTTTATCTACACATTTCTTCATATCATCACACGGTAATGGTGCTGTCCCAGCAATTCCCAGTGATAAGTGATTGGGACGGCTTTTGTCCGAACGCCATGACTGCGTGATGACTACGACTAAAAAAAATAATATCCGTGTCAAACTCATGAGTTTCGGGTGCCTCATTCATCCACAACGGGAAGAACAACTGTAAGTGTCCCACTTGCATATCTGAATCGCAAATTGACAAGAAGAAAATCTTAATTCTAGAGCAGAGAAAAAAGGAAGAAATAGAAAAAAACTGCATACTAAAGCATGTAACGAAAACCGTCATCCAGTCATCCACGTGTGTTCGACTCTAATCTTCTTCAGGTCTCAACATACTCCTAAAGGATCTTGGTGTAGGATGAAGGAGAAGGTAAGCGGAATTTAAAATATGCGATATGGTGGTACTAGATATGGTGACGGTGGTACTAGACACTTTTAACGCAGTGTCCCGACAGTACTCCTGGATGCTCAGCACACAATTCCCCTGCAGTTGTTCAGTCGGACTGGACAAATAAAAAGTCCACCCGCTATCCTTTGGACTCTAAATGGACGTTCTCTTGAGAAATATGCATTGTTTTTAACTTTTATTTACTGCGGTTTTTTTTCATGTCAGATTATTGTGCGAAATACAACCATAAGGGTGGTGAGATATGAGCAAAACTCCGAACCTCAAGGTGCGCTTTCGATCCGCGACTACCCTCTCCATGGACTCACATGTATCCATTGCACATGAGGTTCCGAGTTTTGCTCATATTTCAGGTTTCCTCCGGTTATACTTCACATCGTACCCAGCAACGATAAAAGGATAGGCAATAGATAAGATGAGGGTTAGTGATCTCGACTACATCTTCGGCCTAGCTGGGCTCAATGCTGATTTGTGCCCCTCGGATCATTCCCGTTGACGGGTAACTGCTAATACCCACGGAGAAGAAATTGTCTAAGAAAAATACGCGTTGTTCTTACACCATCCTGGTTGCTACTGTTCACAACATCCTCCCATTACTACCGAGTACATTTTTTCTTATGTCACAACTACCAAACAACAGGAAGGATATCGTAAAGCCTATTTTAGTAAGTGCACGAGCAGGCTCAGCTCGCATCAGTATGTACTGGGTACAAAATCCCCCAACTCTTACGCTTCTTTACATCCGCCAATTCTGTTGTGTCTAGAAGTGTCATATTACGATTATTTATGAGAACCTAATAAAAAAAAAGATAAAACTCGCCGTGACCAATCCCTGAGGTATGCGCCATGCATTCGACTTCATTAAGCATCGTTGGAGGTGGTTGAATGCACATCTGGCCTATAGAATTACCCTCGATGATCTACCGATGTATCGAGTCATTGCCTCCCAGAGAAGTCTGAAACCAATCTGCCGATCCCGGAGGAACGGAAGGCTTGCTGGATCAGGAGCGCAAGATCCTGTGTATATTGCTGCGCGCCTCTGACCACTGCGCCACACGCGCCCACAAGACACAACGCAATATATAAGAAAATGGAAACAAACGATATCAGGAATTTCAATTTTTATTTCAGTGTTATGCAACTCCAGTCGCTATTCAGTACTCATTTTTACTAGACATCAGCAATTAAGCCTTGATAATTATGCTTACACGACAATGAATCTAAACGACCTTGGAGACGGAAAACGACATGAATCACAGGCAAACTGCGGAATCGACAATAAATCGCAACCGTTTTTCAATTATATTGACCACATCTAAGTTAGCCGGTTATCAGAGTTTATGACGAACTCATGGAAGGTTCGAAACTCGAAGAGTGTACCTTTACAAAATTATCAACAGTTTTAACTGTCTTCTAACGTCTGTCAATTTAATTGGTATACTTGAACAAAGAATACCAGTTCTAGAGACCACAAACCAAATTTGTGGAGACCACGTTCATGCGGGAAATAGACCTTCTTGAGGGGCTGATTTCATAGAATGCATGTTACTAAAAACGAAGTTAAGAGCCATCAAAAAAGATGAGGCATAAGAAAGTACTTCAAATAGAAATCTGAGAAGAACTCAATCCATGAGTTGAGCAATAAGAACGCCAACAAGTAAGAATCATTTTCTCCCTTCATCCAATATGTGAATGTGAACGAGTGAGCTTGGAATACGGCTTTCATTGCTTCGCTTTAGAGCAGCAGGCGTTGGACGCTTAACACTTCAAATGTCATTTTACTAAACAAGTGTATGTAGAAGGAAAAGCAAAACGTGAGTATCCAATCTTTACCACTATTTTCTTCCCTGAAATAACACGTTTGACCTCATCTGCTGATAGAGTCTCGTATTCCAATAGCGCTTCTGCTAAGAGTTGATGCTCCTTCTGAAAATGAGCGGAAATCATTCACTTCTGATGCATGTATAACAGATACTCTCTCTTCGTTGTTACGAATATGTTTTCTCTTACATGGCTTGGAGGGTTTCATAGTGCCCAACTGTGATGAACAGCTGTTTAACCGAACATCATGTTTAAACAATGAGGAGTTCGACCATTCTTATCGGGATGCGGACTAAGAGTGAACCAACGTCAGAAATTGGCGCCGCTCTAGAAGAAACGTGTTCGCAGAACACCCTTCTATAAACAAAAGACGCTGTTGTCTGTAGTAACAACCTAGTAAACCGCGCTAAATTGGACCGGTAATATATGTTTCACATACAACACTCCAGTTTAGGACGTCATGTGGTAAGAGAATGGATGAAAACCGATTAATTTTCGGTCTCAAATGGACTCATTAGAACCAGAACAAAATATGGGTTTTACCACGTTCCAAGAAAATTACTTCATGCTTCAAAAACAACATCAAACGGGACCATCACTTCTGCTATCGATCTTCACGCTCTCTTGAAGCCCACTGAATATACTAAGTTCTGCACGACCACTCTGTCAGATCAATAGCTAGAAGACCCACAAGTATCAATTAAAAGATAAAATGTCTCCAATCGTGAAAGAAAGAACTCCCATCAAACAGTGATACGCTCATTTGCTACCCCATTACAGCGATATATACAAGAACACCTCACTCCAACTGGCTATTCATTCTCTAATTAATGCATAAAAACAACCATTAATTGCTGCTCATCAGAATGTTCAGCTGATGAAATTGAAGAAGGTTGTGCTGTGATCAAAGGGAAGAAGTGATCCGCACCCAAAACTCCTACTAAAAATTTTCCCATGAAGGTTTCGACTTGAGAAAGCCCAGTGGAAATGAATGGAGAACACGGAAAATTAAATAAGGTGGAGATCTACCTCTTAGAAAGAAGAATCCCCTAATCGCACGACTCATGTGAGGCTGCAGCACTGAACACTGAGAATGAGTTACGAACGAGTTATTAACCACTGCATGCAACATCATACAGGAGTGTACAACTTCGAAATTTGATCAATACGTTTTCTCGGATGTTCAAAGGAACACCCAATGAGAAAGGAACACAGATGGGTCCGTGGTAAAAGAAGGGCAGGCGATAGATGTGGGAGTACGGTGAAACGTATGCAAAATGATGCAAGCGTCTTCTAAGACGACCAACTACAAAATGGACAGATGTGTTCGGGGTTGACCCGAATTGTCGGTATTGTCAGTTGTAAACAGTGGAATACTAGTAATATGCATAACTGTAACTTTTTAAAGAAACACATTAACTTTACTTAACGAAAACCATACGCGATGCTTAAGCAGAATATCCTTTGCGCGCTGATAACTATCTTGCAAAACTTGGTTGATTTCCTTGTCGATAGCTTCCGCTGTTTGTGGGCTTAGATCACTCATCTTCACTAACGATGTTGATGAAGAATCGTCCGCTGTGAAGTCGCGCAATCCAACCTAAAACAATGCAATATAGGAATTTTAATAACCGGAACTACAAAAGATGACAACATGATCCACCACAAAATAAAATCAAGGAGCTAAAAAGCTAAAAAGCTTAAGCTAAAAAGTTGGGAATAAGTTGGGAATAAAGGAACTTCAACTATCAACGAAACTTATCACTCATTCCAAAAACCTTGACCATTTGTACAGCCAGCTGTGACGCTTTCTTTAAATCATCGGCAGCTCCAGTTGTAATCTACAATTACAAAGCAAAACCAATACTTCACAGTTTTTGATAACGAGCCATAAAATTTCAATCAAAATACAACAAAATTTTAAAAAATTAAAACGATGAAATTTACCATGTCGTCTCCAAAAATAATCTCCTCTGCAACCCTTCCACCCATCATTACATCAATAGTGGCAAGCAGTTGACCTTTTGTCATTTGGTATTCATCCTTTTCTGGTATGGTAGATGTGTGACCAAGCGACTGCCCACGAGGGATAATTGTGACCTAAATGAAAAACGAAAAGGAAAATGAACAGATTGTCAGGACACGTCTTCTATAAGAGATTTCGCTTCTTTTATAATTCTGCACTGACAATTTCAAATCGTTCGCACTTTTGACAAAAAAAGGAATTTTCTACTCCTCTAGGAGAGCATATTAAAGAATGAATAGAAGCGAGGACAAATGGTTACGTGAAGCCTTAAAACAAGCACAATATCTACTCACCACCAAACAACAAGTTACAGTGTGTTTTTTAAATTGACAAGTTATCACGACGTTGTTATTAAACTGTTACTGGGAGAATGTTTCAATGGACTTGCTTTCTTCAGAACCGGAATAGATCGACAAAGCACAGCCTTTTTTCTTTTGATGTAGGCCCTCGAATCGAACAGTGCTCCACTTCATTGGATTTCACTCGATGCAACTACGAAGACTCACATGGAAAAAATGAATGGCTGTTGAAAATCAAATAGCTTATTATCGGCTCTGAAGAAAGCCGATGCCGTTGAGAGGTTGATCGAAAAAAAAGTTTACAAGAAACTCGTACTAACGTACCAATGAAGGAAATTCAACGATTACTCCTAGTGTGGTTAAATCAGGGTCGGTTTTCAAAAAAAAAAAAGGAAGGAAACAGTGAATTCCCTCAAAGACAATGTATAACATTCCAACAGACCTTATGAAGCGGATTAGCATATTTTGTATATAACGAGACCAGCGTATGCCCAGCTTCGTGATACGCAGTGTTTCTGTTGGCTTCCTCATCTGGTATCCTTCCACCAGTGCGAGCAGGACCCATAAGCACTCTGCAATGAAGACTATTTTGACTCGTACAGATTTTTATAAGAAATAATTACCTGTCTTTCGCCTCATCTAAATGCGCCATTGTAACTTCAATGGCAGACTCTTTGGCGGCTTTCAGTGCAGCTTGATTAACCATATTTTCTATGTCAGCACCAGTAAAACCAGTAGAACCCTAAACATCTATTCAGTACGCGCGTCTTGTGAAATCTCATTAACGAACCTTCGCCAATGTTCTTGGGTCTACGTTAGGAGAATGTACGATCCTTTGCAGATAGAAGCTGAAAATATCAGTACGACCAGCAAGATCAGGTTTCGGAACGGTTACTCGTACATCAAATCGACCTGGACGAAGCAAAGCCTAAATCGAAGTATTTATTCTCGGTCCGATAGGAACTAATGTTGCAATCCATTTTACTTTATCCAAGTCATCCACTCGATTCGTTGCTCCAATCACAATGACACCCTCGTTCCTGTTGAATCCATCCATTTCACTATAATTGAGCTGTGGATAACTTAATACTTCACATTACTCCTATATTTATCACGTAAACCTCAACCTTAGTAATTGATTAATCGTTTGATTAGCGTATGGATGGATACTGTTGGAAACGCGCTTGGAACCGACACTGTCGATTTCATCGATGAAGATAATACACGGTGCCCTGGAAACCAAGTTAATCCCAGATTTGAAAAGAACTGAATATTAAACAAAAGCTTTTAGACAGCCAGCAACAGTAATCAACTACCTTGCTTTCGCTTTGTCAAAAAGATCACGAACTCTCCTAGCTCCTTGACCTACTAGTACTTCATCAAATTCTGACCCTGATGTATGGAAGAATGGCACCTAAACTGCATTTTTAAAGTAAAATAGAACAAATAAGACAATATAAAATAATGTTAAATAAATTTTTTTCGCGTCTGGGAGTGTATATCCATATTCATGGAAGGATTCCATGCCGATTAGTCGCAGAGGAACTTGGAGCATTTTAAGGTGGCAGATACTGGTTAAACGAGAACAAAAAGCGACATTTCTTTCCCTGAGACACAGGTAGATCCGGGGGAGTGAACTCTGTATTCCTGTCGCGCCGATTTGACGCATACCTTCTGTATTTTTCTAACGAAAGCGAAGTTGTCTGGACGTTAGCTGAATATATCGTTTTCATCAACTTCCCGTTAGTTTGATAACCTAAGAAGGTATATAGCTTCTGTATTTACGAAGATACATTCAGGTATGCGTGCGTAAGTGTATTCTCGCTTACGCGGATTGTGCTCTACAAGTCGGCTCGGCCAACTTCCTGCAAGAGAGTGCGCGGAGGCTGGCAAAATCTCAGAACCAAGCTAAGCCCTCTAAATCAGAAAGGAGTAAGGTGACGATCTGTCCCTACGATGCACGCACACTTGCAGTTGAGCTCTCGATAGAAGACTTTATCATATAGACAAGAAAAAATGGTACAACGTCGTCGGATTGGCTGAAAGAGGAAGATGACTGTGCCTCGGAACACGCGACAATGGAGGAGTGGGTGGCATCGGCGATCTCGTCAATATGAACTTCGATCCAATCGAACAACTAACAACGTTAATCGGACCTTTGTTGCATATAAGCACATAAATATCGGCTTTGACAATCTTCATCGTTTACGCGCCGACATCGAACTAAGCAGAAGTCGAAGCGATCTGCAGCTTGGAGAAGTTCTAGACCATACATTCTTTAAGGTCATCATTAGAGACTTCAGCGCTAAGAATGGACCGGGAAGACCGTCTGAAGAGCGTCACATTGATTTAAGACCCACGGTTATAATGGAATGAGCATGGTGAACAGTTGTCTGAGTTTATCATAACGAACAAGAATTCCCATGGTAATTGGTAATCCCAGAAACCCCACCCTCACTGCCGGACGTGGGACAGCACCATAACAAAATAGACCACATCATAGTAAATCGAAGGTTTTTCCTATTCGATGTCGCTATTATACCAAGACTCTCTACAGAATCAGACCATGGCCTCCTTCCTCCAAGATTTCATTCCTTGCGGAAAGGAGAAAAAGCCACCAAGTTCAAAACACAAAAATTCCAAAACCATCATAAAATGAGGTTTACTGAGATCATTAGTCGGCTGTTTGAAAGAGGCCGTTATTCCCACGACCAACTTTCTATTAATCACGGCATTGATCAAATAATTCTCCACATTGATACTTACTTGATACTTGAACGGTCCGTCCTCAATGCGTTGTGCAGGCTCCAGCATAAACACCATTTTTCGGAGATTGGCAAATTAAGCCATTGTGGTTCCCTGGAATCCCCCTGGCTAAAGTCTGCCCCGCAAAGACGAAGTGTTACTTTATTCCTTATAACGGTAAGGCTGGCGTTTTGGCAGTATCGCCTTCTTCAGAAGCCGTTATTGATAACACCTACGAGCTACACAACCGGCTTATGCAACACCTTCACGATAGCGCTATGAAAGCTCAGAGTTTGAAAGTCACCAAGAGACTATCTCCAGAAACACTCGAACTGGTATGCCAGCAGGTATACGCACGAGTTAAAGGCAACAGAACAACCAACTAACGTACGAACTTCTAAAACAATTCAGACTGACAATAAAAGAAAATCTTAAAGAAAGAACAACAGCTTTTACGGTCGAAGCTCCGTCAATTACAAAATGAAGATGATTGCACTCTGACGCACAAACGGAACAGTTACTGCTTTCGGAAAAATAATGGAGAAAATCGGTCATGATTACTGCTCGGATGTCTTCAAGAGCCAAGTCCTCCTGCACTCATAAGCAATACGGGAAGGTAAAAATGTTACACCGCTGGTTCACCGCTCCAAAATCCAACATAACATTTCGCCGGTGGAGAATGGAACAATACCATGTCCGGAAAGGATAAAATCCTATTTAACGGAAAACTAGCAAGATTGTCCCTTTATTCAAGCAGAGTGATAGCAGGGTAAAGCGCCAAAATATCGACAACTACCGCCTAATCTGCTTGCTGTCTATCGGCTATAAACTCTTCAATCGGGACATCCTAAGCAGGATTGACAAAACACTAGAAGAAGGACAGCTACATGTGTAAGCAGAATTTAAGGAGGGTAAAAAAGTAAAAAAAGTATATGTATATGTAAATGTGTATAATTTATGTATATATATATATATTTACACATACAGATTTTTATGCACATGCATATGTACGTGTATGTAAATGTATACATACATATATACATTATATATATGCATGTACATCGGTACGCATGCATTTGTATATATACGTAAATATGTATATATATATATATATATGTGTATATATACATATCGTTCGTAGCAGTTCACTGCTACAACATAACAATAACATGTTAACAAATGTCACGATGTGAAGTACAGTTGTGGTTCATCCCCAGCATCGAGGCCCATGAGTAGTTCGACACTCTTATCCAAAAGGGATTTGAAAGGTAAATTTATACTGCGAACTGTCGTAAACTTGAAAAGCAGTGGCAAATTCCTCTGAATTTACATGTAACAGCGCTTGCATTTGTTAAAAACGTAGCAAAACACTGATAGGGGCTTCTGACGCATCCAAGGAAAAAAATACCAAAACGGTAAATACCACACCCCTACTCTTTATGTAAACACACCCATCAAGTAATCAGACACTTTCTTAATCGAAATCCAAACAGACGAAGAAAAAAGCAAAAAAATAGCTCTACTCAACCTGTGCTTCGCCAGCAATCGCTCTTGCCAAAAGCGTTTTGCCTGTTCCTGGAGGTCCTACCAGTAGTACACCTTTAGGAAGTCGGCCACCAAGGCGCGAGTATTTCTCAGGATCTCGTAGATACGACACGATTTCTTCCACCTCCAACTTCGCTTCGTCCATCTAAAAAAGCAGGTCATTACCACGTCCGCGTTAATGTAAGAGTCAGTAGTGAAAGTATCGTATTATAAAATTAACCTAAAATATTACGTTGACGTGAAATAGGTTGTAAAAACAGCTCTTTGATAAGAGCTGAAAAAATTCGGTAACTTAGTAAAACTTCGTCATTCCAGAAAGAGTGGAATGTTCATTCACGTAGATGTTACTATAAACGAAACAACATCTCAGAAAAGTGTACGTACCCCTCGAACATCGTCGAATGTTACTTGGACGTCTTCAGGCTTCACTTCTTGTGTGTTTGAAAAGAAGAGAGAACCAAACTGGCGATCGCCTATTCGAACACGAATTGCTAGAGTAGGCCTTAGCTACGTGAAAAATAAAGCAATAACTAAAACGTTGTCAAACAGAATTAACTAGCACGTCTCTGACAAAATATGGACTGAACTCATTTGATGAATAAAAACTGCAGACTGGCCAGCAAAAATTATTCCCACTCGTATGTGATTTAAAGTAGCTTCGCCTCTCAACGTTCAACTAACATCTCTTAGTCCACAGTGAATTAACTAGGATAAAAGCTACTACAATCGACAGATCTTTGCCAATAAAACACTTCTTAGTTAGAAGTGATGAAATTCTAGTACCTTTTCAGCGTACAAAAAACTTCTTTCGACGGTGCTCCTAATTCTAAAGTAAAGCTATTGAAAACTAGCTGAGAGAAAGGTGAAACGAAGGACACGCATAGTGTGGTGGTGAACGCGTTGGCCCCGGAAAAGGTAATAGCGAGTTACCTCCCGCAGACACCTGAGGTCCGAAGTTTTGCAAATATCTCAGCATAATTTTGGTTGTACCACATAAATAACCTGCTGGGAAAAAATGTAGTAGGCAGTAAATAAAAAGTTAACATAAAGCTATTGAACAGTCGGGATTTCACAGAACAGTACAAAACGGTGTCCAAAAATGCATAGCCAGCATTGCGACTACTAAGCTTATGTCAAAAATTTTGGGGAAACTCATTCCAAATCTCCCAAATTTGAATTTCAGACAAAATTTAAACTAAAAGAACACTTAACAAAAATATTTGTACCATAGAAAATAGGGAAAAGTTCCTTCTATAATGCCATGTACCTATTTATATCTATTTGAACAAAAAAGTTAGCAAATAGCCATAAGAAATATTTAAAACTAACCACCGGTCAAATACCCGATGAGGATACATGCAGCCAAGAATATATAGAAACGAGTAAGCGTGCTCGACTTCTTTGGTGGTTGTGATCCTGATGACTTTGAAGCAAGAAGGCCTTTTATGAATCCCTCCTAGAAAGTGAAACTAATTCAAGTTTAGCGAAAACGGTACGACCTCCAATCAAATGTGAATAAGAGTAAGAAGAAGAAATAGGAATGCACGTACAGTGTATGTCTTCTGCTGCGATTCAGGTAATTTTTTTAACTCAGAATCGTACCGGCTCCAACTGTCCACCACATTTTCCTCTCCTTTTTTTGCAACACCAAGTATGTTTGAGAAAATATTCCATCTACAAACTAGCTTTTTTCACAGGAATATAGCCATTAAAAACGACTCACCGTTCCTTTTCAACACCGCTTTTTGGGCTAACACCGCCTATTCCCAATTTTTCAGCCCGTCTCGTTCTAAATCCTCGCTCTTGAATAACTGAAACAACGCAGAAACATCAATATCAGCAAAAGAATTGAATTCTTTTAGTTTAGCACAAAGAATAGTCGTGTACTCAATGCTACAGTGGAATACTTCAATATTAACACCAAATGATTTATAACTGACATGGGAAAACACGTAACTGAGTACTTACACATAGTTCCTGTGCTTGGAACAATACATAGAGAGACGTGCCCATTGAGACTAATCTGAAACCGATCACGACGAATCGCTCGACGGCTAATAAAAGACAGTGAGGGTTCTTCTGAAGCACGGAAATCACCAGGCTATGGCATTTTCATCAGAGAATAGTCAACATAACGCAAAAAACATACTTCTCAATACAGTCCACAGGTTTTCTATACCAATTTCACGTGCAACTGCTACGTAGGAGTTTGTACGGAAACGATGATTTGTAGACTTTCTTATGACTGAAGAGAAACAATGTGTTTGCTATTGCTCAGCGATGATAAACTATTCATCGCCGGTACAAAGGCGACAGCCACGGACGAAATAGCTTCATGTTCCCAGAATTCAAAAGATAAGCAAAAAATTGCGTCCATTCTCGCAATATTTTGTACAATTACTTACAATGGCGCTGGTGTGACGGCCCGAGCTGAAGAGTGTATCCCAGGCTATTCCAGGTTCCTAATCCGTTCACTACCTGCATCCTAGAAACATAAACATCAAACCTGACTTCCTCGTGCAAGCTTAAGAGTGGAAACAGAATCATAGAAGACTGATATAAGATGACATAAAAACCAATCGATCCTCATCCTGACAAGAACTGGAGATTTATTTCAGCAATAAAGCTATTTGTAAACAAAACACCCAACAGAGATAAACCAAAGTTTAGCACCAGTTAAAAACAAGTATACAACTCTTTGTAGCACGGACATAAACGTAATAGTAACAAAATATTTGACACATGTATAGTCAACACATGAGGGGCTCCCTTTGCTGTGTTCTGTCTATTTTAGCGCTGGCTCGGAGAAAGTTTTTTCGCAAAATATTAAGGTACTAAATGGGTTCTCACGAACCACATCTGGCACAACACGTGTGTTGGATAATCTATCGACTGAATACAAATAGTACAAAGAAGGTAAACTTCATGCGGCAAGATGGAAATTCGGATGTATGTGTTGAAGTCAATGCATAAGACCGCGTTGTGTTACATAACTGATGTGGAATAGGAAGCATAAAACAATCAAAAATACCGACAGAAGCGAAAACGTAACCTCCAACTCCGACTTTACCGTAGTATATTCAGAGTGAAATAAAATATACGCGAACAAAGAACACAGTCTACCATTCCATATGCAAAACATTATGTAATTAGCTATCTCTGAAACACTAGTTTTCCCTAACGGACGAAATCTTCTGGATCCTAGGCCACCACTTGACTGATGGGACTTTATCTCACTTAAAGCTGCCAATACACTTCAAATGTGCTGGAAAACCAGCGTTATCTGGCGAATAGGTAGAACTTGGAAGAGATAGCACTCTAGGACATTCCATTCAATTCCAGTCCCGCATCAATTTCACAGAAAATTGGTTAATCCCACCAATGACTGGATCAGCTAATGATTGCCGATTTAAACTCCTTTTCTTAGACCGGTTGAGAATTCACGAGGCACTGCTAGGCCCAACGTCTCCGTTTTACAACAGTAAGCCTTAACAGCAACTCTTAAGTGGTGTTTGTTAATCTGGCGTCTACGACCTCTAATACCTTCGGCTCCATACAAATAGCCAAGTTTATAGAACCAAAATATTTGAGCAATACATCTTCTGATAGTGGCCTGAGCAAGTGACTTTTTTGAGACTGCTCGCATCTCAGGCAATACGCTCATCCTGAATGTCCGAGACAGGTAATACGCAATCAGAACACTCAAATGTAACGAAAAGCACAAGCTAGAACAAATTGCACATGCCACACGAATGTATATAATATCCGGAAGAAAAAAACCAGCTGACGGGTGTAAGTGGACGAAATGCACTGCATTCTGGGTATTTTCTTCGAAGTGGTTTACTTTGCCACGCAGGGATTTATTACCGCAACTTCTATACTCAACTAATAAACAAAAGCATAAACCTCTCGGCGTTGATCAATCCCAGAGTGATACGCCACTCATTCAACTTCGTTAAGCATCGTTGGGAGATGACTGGATGCATATTTGGCTTCCAGAATGACTCGTAAATCCCAAAGGGATAGAGGAATTGCTGAGCCTCTTGCGTGGGGAACGATCACATGTGTATTACAGGGCGTCTCCGACCACTGCTCTACACGCACCCTTGTACTCAATGGATAGGTTAGTAAAATATGGCTATCGCACGATATGGAAGAATATAACGACATTAAAGTAAAACACAACAGAGCCTGCATAACTCAAATTCTGACAAGTGTGGCCGTACGTCAGGCCTTGATAGCATACAGGAAATGGTATGATCCATAGACCGAGATTCCACAGCTGCCATGTTCTCCACCCCTTTTATCTTCTGGCTACCGAAAAAACTGTCTATTACGTAAAAACCTCAGCATCCATAACAAGACAAGCGCCTTACAGAGGATCACGTTGATCAATTTCAAAGTCGGTAGCTTCCAGTTAAGCATTGTAAAGATTGCTAAATGCATACTTCGTCTGCTCTATAACTTTCTGTACTCCATTGATTTACAAACCCAGTACTGTCCCCCTTCCTTTCCAGACGTCTGGTACAGTTGCCTACTTGGGAAGGACGTAAGCCCTAAACGATCCGACAGGGAACTAGCCGAACACCACCTATGTACTGCACGGCACCTTCACTCACTATGCTGAACATCTGGATTGTATGTAAGTAGGAAAACAGATAACCACATAGAGAAAGCAGAGCAGCTCATATCCGGAAGGAATTTCGAACCAAAACCCCCTCCCCCTAAATAAGATCAGGTGGACAACACCGATGTAGGTCAGATATACCCGACAGTAACAGTTTTATGTGTACGTATATAACAGCGAATAACAACGACACCTCAAGAATTAACCACCTGGGAGCCTCAACATTCTTCGTATAATCATAGATGGTGATAGCAAACTTCTACAGGGTAAACAAAAATGCAAATCATCGTAGTAAAAGAAAATAGATGTAATTTACAATCGTTGTTAAAGCAATTATTTGAAAATGTAGGAGTAAATCACAAAGTACTTGAAAAATATTCTAAACTGTGCTAGAGAATTTCAATTGGAATCATAGCAAACACCGGCAACAGCGTCTCATCGGATAAGGGAGTACAGAGAAGTGAGGTCAGTATTAGAGGATCTACTTACCAGAACACAACAACTACTACATGAGAACTTTGACGAAAACACAAAATGTGCGTTTCTAGCAGAGTTCAAAGAAGAACATCATGCAGTGATAAGAAGAATATTAATGAAACGCTTTCACAATGAAGATCAAGCCCTAGAGATCCTATAGACTAAACATCCCCAATCTCATTCATGACCTCAGCGATCAACATTCACATTGTGCTGTTAGCATTAGTAGTCATCGAGGTCTTTGTAAAGGCTCCCGTCCACTTTGAAATTGTCCTGAACGATCATATTGGGCTCGTTCATTTTCCGTTAATGAGCAGCTTAATAAAGGCGACAAGTCTATTCCTTCAGCTTCAGAAGCATCATCGGAATCTATTCTTGGCATTTCGCGTCGCTTTCCCTATAAAAGGAAAGAATAAAAACTGTGGCGCTCAATGAACTTTCGCGTCGCTTTCTCTACAAAAGGGAAGAATAAAAACTGTGGCGCTCAATGAACTTTACCATTGTCTTACCTCAAAGTACAGCCGTTCTTCCTTCGCAAGACGCAAGTGTCTTCTTGCTACCAGAGTCTCTAGACGAGTTGAATTACAACAACCAGGTATTCGATGATCCATCAGATCAACGATTTGCTCATGAGAAAGCTTTCGCCATGTCGGAACCTCGATATCCTTAATCGGGATGTTTAACTTGGATCCAACATAGTCAACGGTAAAAAGAAGTCAAAAGAATAGGTGTAATGAACTTACTGAATATTTAGGCATCTCCAGTTTAACTCTAAAGCAGGAATCCAAGCTTTCTTCTGACTCAGAATCCGACTCGACTCCAAGAAGACGTCTTGTCCGCCGACGTTGCTAAAACAATGAAAAAATACTACATATGAAATTTTAAAAAAGAATTTTGAAGTTCTGTACCTTCCTTCTGTTTTTAGATCGTCGGATTTCCTGCCTTCTCTTCTCACTGTATCCACAAATCGTATACGACTAAAAACAAACTATAGATGAATAAAACCTTTTAATTATATAGAATTCGACAACTTCCGGTCAGTTATTATGACTCCGTGGGAGTTAGTAGTCTCTTTACTTAAGTGTGTTACAAAAATTAAAGCGGTCGCGGTCACACAAAGGGATTCTTATAATTAAAACAAAGAACTGCCGACAAAATGGATAAATAACAATCTACCTCAATGTTGCTGAACAAAAAATATAGTGATTAACAAATTAAACAAATGAAAAAATGTTGCATGAATTTTAAACGTCTTTAACAATCCCCAATGTCTAAAAATATATAAAGAATAAAAGATAAAGCTTCCGGCGTTAATCAATCCCTTGGGGATGCGCCATGTATTCGACATCATTAAGCATCGTTGGAGATTACTGGATGCATATTTGGCCTTCACAATGATACGTGGTGGTCTACCGATCTATCGAGCCAGTACTGCCATCCTCCCATTATCCTCTTAGACAAGTTTGGTACCAATCTGCCGACTCCGGAGGAATGGAGGGCCTGGTGGGGCTGGCGAGCGGGGGCTGATCCCATGTGTATTGCAAGGCGTCTCCGACTACACGCGCCCATAAAAACGTGGTGCCATAAAACAAAAAGCACGACTTCAGAAACTACGGACTTGTTTAGATGTCCTATGTGCAACTCCGCAGCTGATATCATTTGCCAATTAGAAATTATATTCACTGCAAAGTAAAGATCTACTAACCTTATCTTTACGTTCATCTTCACTTTCCTCCAAGGAAGAGCTACCCGTTGATGAAAACGGACTTCTATCAATCAGTCGCATTCTCTTTGATTTTGGAACTCGATCACCGTCATCGATGTCGTCAAACTGCACCGTAGTGCACCGTCGTCGCTCTTCAGAAATGAAGTCTCTATTTAACCAGACGGGGACATCTATTCGAGAACGAATTGAGAATGCTGGTCCCATTGATACCAGTCTTGCAAACGCTTCCATATAGCGTAAAGGAGGGCAGTTCACTTAATTTGGCCCCATTAGTCTTTAATTTAATGCTAAAACATTTTCAGCGTTAAGTTAAGTAACAATGACAACAAAGCCATACTGCAAAGAATCTTTTGGAATTACCTTGCGAAAGATCCAGTGCGCAAGACCTAGTACAACTGTATGGTGTCTCGCTTAGTCGATAATTCTCAGACCTAGGAGACAGGATAAAAGGAAAATTGAACGTCAAAACCAGTAACAACAAACCTCAACTGAAAGCAGTAACGAGTTCTCCGACTGTGTGTGTACCGCATATCCAGTGGACGGATTCGTGCACATGAGTCCACATGAGATGAACACGACGGCTCTTGGCCATCCGCACAAAGAAATCCATCCAAATCTTCTATCTATTATGCAAAAGTCATTTTGAATAACAAAGTCTGAACCAATATAATTTACTCGACTTTGAGAATCGGTGCTGTGAAGTTTAGATACTTGGCAAGAACGAGATGATGAACAACAGATATCCCAACAAACATTACACAACTCATGAAAAGAGAACGTGACTTATTTTTTGTGTACTATTAAACCTACTTGCTAGGTACAAATAATAAACGGGTCCTCTCGAGAGTAAACCTAGTTCCACTAGGGCGAAAATTAGAAAATCAATGTTTCGTAATGGACCCGTTCTTTAGCAAACCACAAATAGAAGAAATTCATCTATTCCAGAGCACTTAATAAGGAGAAAACATGAACTGTAAAGCGTTATACAAATAAGCGAAGATAGAGAACCAATGAAAAGTTTTGCAAAGGTTTCTAGCATAGCCATTTTTGAAAAGCCACGAAATAAAAATGAGAAAAGTGAGATTCTTACTTGCCGGACTGCATTTTCAAGTTGTATCGCATTTTTAGCCATTTCTGAACTAACGGCAACTTTGACTTGGTTCCATTTCAAAGCGACTGAGTCTACCCTAAAACAAAGTAACAAAAAAGTATAAACGACGAATAACTGTAAAGCGCAGTGGCTAGAATAATTTAACATACTTCTCCTTAACTTCAACGTCAGAGAGATCGGTACTGTCATCATACTCCTGACTAACATATCTGTTAGGTCGAGTAAACTGGGGTTGACCAGGTCGCCTCTTTATATTCCTGGCTTCCTCTTCACCATATATTCTCACTACCATATGACGTGGCATTTTTTCTTCTGCAGCTGACTTCAGCCGTCTCGCGGCCACAGCCAGCTGAGTTGGGGTCTGCGATTCGAACTGAAAAAATTCAGAAATAAAGTAACTAAACTAAATGGAAAGAACTCCAGAAATTGACCACAATTCCGTCTTGCTTAATTTATTGCTGGACATAAATTATGGCAAAACAGTAAATGAGAACAGATCACGTCACCGAAAGGCCACTTTCCAGAGTATTTCACAGATTCTGGTATTTTGGATAATACATAAGAACAAATGTTAACTAACACCAGAAACGAAGAACTTGAACGCATTTGCCTCCCTTCCTTTGATGATTTTGTCGACAACAGTTTTCCTTCTTGTCACTTCAACTTCACGTCGAGAAACAGTGCTCGGCGGAATCAACGGACCACTAAAAAAGATATCCTTAAAAGTACTTCAAAGTACTCTACAAGAGATCTTTATCTCTCCAGAAGAGAAGAAACCAACGTGAAATTGCAAAGAGAAAGAAAAAGAATTTAAGAACTGTTCACATAGTGGCGTAAAAGTTCTAACATACGAAGTTCCGGAAAGACCCGGTGGATTTTTCGTGGTTGATCGAACATTACTTGCACATTTCGGCGAAGGCAATGGTGAAGGAACTACAATTTGCAAAATACAAAATATCTTAGCACCAAATAAAATAACAATGCATGACGACATTAATGACCTCTGATTTTATAGTTAACTCAATAGCTAGCTATTCACTAAATGTTTATGTTCCATGGTCCCAAAAGCAAAACTTTGAGCAAATTAAAACTGCACAGACCCTATTTATATTCCGATGTACCATCAATAAAGACAGTTGCACGACATAAATAAGACAAAACATAGAATAAAAAATAGATACTAAGATAAGAAAGGTGAGCTTACCTGGTCTGTTAACAGATTCCAAGGTACTGATTGCGGATGAACAACCATCATTCGAAGTTGCCGAAGAAGATGAATACTGAACACTTGGAAATGAGTGCGAAGAAGAAGATTGTTTATCCTCAGTGGATGGCTAAAGTATAAAGCAATGGAAAAATAACTTCTCTCGTTTGGATAACAAGAGACAAGGTTTTTGTTCTTCAAGCATACCTTCCCAAAGCCATTTACATGTATATGAAGTGGTCTCTGAGCCTCGTTTGTTCCATCGCATACCCTTGGAACGGAATCCTTATTGGGCAGACCGTTAAGCTTAACACCCGGTGATTGACCAGTCTTGTGGACAACTCGCGGCGAACAAATAGGAAACATGGGGGAATCCTGCTTTTTCAGAAGCATTTCTGCATCTGTGAATAGGAATGTTTCATCTTCCATCACAGTATATGCAAGAACTCTGAGAAAAACCGGCTTCAATCCCATATGATAGCAACTTCTGTGTTGTGTTATTCCATTGATACATTCTATGCGAACATCGCAAACTGTTCCACTTGAAGTGGACTGAAGCCTGAAAATGCTGTTCTCTGTAATCATGGTGTTCGAAAATAAGGATAAAATTCGAAAAAAGAGGGCTCAGTACTGTTGAGATATAAATATTTATCCACAGCGAAAACATGGAACAAAGAACATGTATTTGCAATCTAGTAAATAGTGAGAGGGGAAAGTGTTTCATTTCCATACATCGCAAGTTAGCCTAATCATCGTATCTTTCCCTGCATAAAACATAGCCAACAAAAGCTCAAATTTCCACTGAGAAAAAAAGCGCTGTATACTTTTTAGTGGATACTTAGATGAACCGTCTCACTAACTGTGCGAAGCCCAGCATAGTTTCCACTTTTCAGAGTTTTGTTGGTTTAACCATCGTAATTCCCTGGAGTTCTGAGGTTAGCTAGGCCAAAGTCTGCCCCAGGTCGTCACCACCACAGGCTGCCGTTACCCATGTGGATAGGAGATTTGCCACCATGCGACTAGTTTGATAACAGGACGTTGGTGGATCCAGGCATTAATTTACTCTTAGCTAGGTTTGATGATGGAAACGACGGACTTCGCTTAAGAGACTGCCGGGGGGATGAATTCCCTCACTGTACATCGCAATCCGACATCCAGGAACACCCATCCACCATGAGGATGTAAACCGTTCGGAGGACACTTTTTATCACCAAACATAATTAGGCTAACATATTAAACGAACAAGACAATGAAGAACAAAATGTAAGGCTAATTTTCCCCTTTTGAAAAACGGTTTTAATAAAATAAACTTTTAAATCTCCTCCCTTTACGAAAAAGAAAACAAGCGAATAAGTAAAAATCATTGAAAAAATAAAAAATGAGCGAAAATAAACGTCACGTAATACTTCAGGACGAGCAGGAAGCAGAACACCATGATGAAATTAAGGATGGGAGCAACGACAAAGCGAATACAGGCCTTCGCTAGTCACTTCGGTCGCCCTGTGAGCGACTGCCAAGACAACTAGACTCGAACTGACAATGAACATCTCCACGTGGAAGATCACCCGGGTCAAGAACGCCAACCCGCACCTCGCAAAGGGTTTGCGCCCCTAACGGCGTCGCAATTCGAAGTGGCAATCGCACAGCGACCGCTGCGCGTCATTGGTCACCGCCAAAAATAAGCGGTAGGTCCCGAACGGACGCCCTCCGATGAATGACATTGCGCGAAAATTCTTCCGTTCAAATGAGTTTTTAGTTGCCTCACATGCTGAGTCACTGCGAGTGCAGAGCTGTCCTTCCAATATTTCTTGGTTTTCAACGGTCTACGGAATGGATTGAGTTCTAGTCTTGTTTTTTTCTACAGATGGTGGCAATGGATCAAGACAATGTGCTCGCGGCTTCTGGTAGCCGCTTCGTCGCCAATGCACTGGAGACCGTTTGGATTCGATTTAGTAAGCGATTTTCTTTATATTGCTCTTTTGTAAACCGATATAGATTTATGAAGTTTAACTGGTTTTAAGAGATGAGTTAACAGCTATCGAAACGCGTTTATTCGAAGAACGGTCACTTTTTAAGACTAACGGGAATTTCGCAACTAATATTGGTATTGTTCGAGGGATGTACCTGAATTTTTTTCAGTATCTAATGAGGAATCAGAGGCTGACCCCGTTGGCTATCATCCTGAATTTGCTCATCAGTTTTTTGGTGACAAGTAGGTTTCTATTCCTACTTTTATTCAGCACTTCGAAAGCGCTTTAAGAGGCGAATGATTCCTTTCTTTAAAGGGAAACCATCTATGGGTATGAGAATTTCCGGCTTATCTTGCACTATACGGATGCCACCATGTTCCTTTATCCGGAGTTTTCTTTTTCAGCAGCCGTATCAAGTGTCGAGAAAGACATGAAGGTTGTTTCGCTGTTTCAGCCTCTGTTCTCTTTTATATTTTCACCTTTGCAGGAAGATGATATCATGGGGAAGTTGAAAAGCCAGCTACCTTGTGACCAAATGAACATGATGGTGGAGTCAAGAGAAGAATTCAAAATTTTGCTTTTGAAGCAAAAAAAGTTTAAACCTTTCGGAGAATTAGTCATCAAATTCACTAAAAGTGAGTTCAACAGCTTTGTTTTTTGCTTGGTGCTTATGTACTTCATTTCTGTGGCTATTATCTACTCAAGTAGCGCGCCTGTCTAAGGGGTCGTGTGGCGCAGTAGTCGGAGACGCCTTGAAATACGAGACCGATCCTCACGCGCAAGGCTAACCAAGCCCTCCATCCCCCTGGGATCGGCAAATTGGTACCAGACTTGTCTGAGAGGATACTAGCACTGGCTCGATACATCGGCAGGCCACCGAGAGTTGTAAAGGCCAGATATGCATTCAATCACCTCATAACGATGCTTAATGAAGCGGAATGCATGGTGCATCTCTCAGGGATTGATCATTGCCGTGAGCTTTATCCTTTTTTATTAACATCTGTAAGAAATTGTACTCGGAACTTGTCCATTCAGCTGTTTATGTTTTTTTCTTTATTTTCAGACGACAAGTGTTTCGAGCTCTACAAAGTCTCGGGATGCTCTACTGAATTCAACGCTTTTCTTGAAAGAGTACAATCTCTTGCATTGTGGTATATTGATGCTGCTCAGTATACGGATAATTATGACCCTCGATGGCTGCACTACCTCTTGTAAGTCTATGTCCAAATATATTACTGAACGGTTAGTTTAAGGAAATAATAGGCGCGCAGAATACTTCCAAGTGTTTTATCTTGGGTTTTTGCTCCTGAACATATTGAAGGTTCGAATCTCGAGGTCACGAATCGGGAGATGGGTCCCGTGCCTATTCCTTTGCTGGCTATGCTTCCTTGTATAGGTTTTACGCTTATCCTGATAGAATACGGCCACGTATCGCTCAAATCATGCTTCTTCCACAATACAGGTGTGCATCGTGGTGCTTTACGAGTTCGTGTTCTTCTTAGTTAGTAACGAAATGTCGTTAATTCATAATGCATGTATGTTTGTGTATTTAAGATGTTAAAAACCTAGTATTTGTTCGACCTGCTATGAGCTTGTGGGTATTTCTTCATCAAAACCTTGCTCTCCTGTTGTACATTTCGGAAAACTCAGTTTTTAGAAAAAACGGTATAGGTGCCAAGCTGTTAGATGCTATTTGCAAGGACTTGTGCTCTATGACTGAGGTATTAGATATAACAGGTACGACTTACCACATTAGATTCGGCAGTACAAAAACGAGTTGACCTTCAGCGAAAAATATTTCAGCTGAGGATCCTGCCGACAACTTTATATATCTGCGAGATTATGTAGATTGCTTAAATTGCTCTAAACTCCCTGAGTTCTCACCAGAGAAACTTAAGGGAGGTTTTTCAATGGAGATGAGAAAGACCGCTTTAGAGAAGCTGAGGATTACAAAGGTGTGGTTTCTCATTCTTGAAATTTTTATGCTAATCACTTGTTTAAGCGTCAATGTCGCCGTGTATACGAAATTTTACGTCTAAAATGCACCAACATGAAGGATCCTGATGAAGCAAAAGCATATAGGCTGGATGTTAAACGAAGGTTCGAGTGTCTTCCGGTCATAAATAACACGGTACTGGAATATAGCATATGCTCGTTTAGGCTAGAAGTACCTATGAAGAGAAACGAACGAGATTGGAAAAAGATCCAACGGGCGCTCAATGATAGCGAGTATGCTAAGGTGACAAATCGTTGCAGCTAAGATTTTTAACAGATTTTTTGGAAAAAATATTTTTGGTCTACGGTGTGCTAACCTCTTCTGTGTCCTACAATTTCCATTTGAGTTCTTCTCAAATAATACAGTACTGAATATTTCATACCAAGTAAGAGTAAATAGGGATAAACATGAAAGTTCGTCATCCAGTAGTTGATAGTACACTGCACCCCAAATAAAAACTACATGAATTTGTTTTGTTTTTTCTGAGTGGCAAATGATGACAATCTGGTTCTCCTTAAGCGTTACAGAGTATATGTGGGGTTAAAAATTAGGCAAACGAGATTGGAAAGAAAGAGTTGCTTAGTTTACGCGATGTTCTTAGTTGTATTGGATTTTCAGATCGCCGCTTCATATGTGAACTCCGATCAAAGAATACAACAGCTTCAGCAGCTATATGAAGTGGAAGTGGAGTCGTATAAACTGACTATTGAAAGAATGATTGTGCATCCCAATATTTGATTTGTTAAGTAAGTATCTATAAATAGGCAGTGAAATATAACCAAAGAAAGTGAAACCATGCAATTTATTAGTGAATTGGATCCCCTTTTTGGACTTGAAATGTTTCCTTGTGTTCTGCTACATTTATCATTCTGACAATGTCACTGTTTATATGTGCTTTCTTGAAATAAAAGTGATTTGATTTATTAGAAGAGTTTTATGAAGGTGCTGTATAAGGCAGTTCTGCTATATCTTTCTAGAAAGGAAATCGTGCTACTCGTCTTGTTTCCTAGGAAGTGATGGAGTTCTCTTTTCCATTTACACCGTATGAGATACAGCATAGTCTTATGAGAGAAATAAAACAGTGCATAGAGGAGCAAGAGGTCGGAACATTGTAGTATGTGTTGGATACCATCAAATATATTTAGTACGAACTCTAGTGAACAATAAAGTCTTGAGCGAGTGGTATTCTTATCCCATTCAGGTTGGCATCTTTGAATCTCCAACGGGTACTGGTAAGACACTGAGTGTCCTATGTGCGACAATGACTTGGCTAGAAGAATTTGAAAAGAATACGGAACGTGCTTTGCTTAGGGAGTCGCGAGTTGTGGAAGAAGTGGATGAAGAAGGTGACAAGTTTTGAGCAGTATATGTGGTGAAGAAATTAAGAACCTTAACAATTTTCTCAAGTCTCAAGGACTTAATTGAAAGCATTTGTTTACATTGTTGAGCTTACACGAGGTTGATATGAGGTGTTTATCCGGGTAATGTTTCGACGTCTTCGTCTTCATCAGAGCAGACGGTCCTTGTCGATCGTCCACAGTGGTTCCTCTTCTCGATGTGGCATTTTCATCTCGCATCGAACCGGATCTTCTTCAATTGAGCATCTCGGAGCCGAGCAAATCCGCGACGCTCTTTTATACGGAGCGGTTGTTGTTATGACTATCGGTTGATGGTTGATGATTGTTTTTCGACTAGTAATCCCTGCAGCAATCGGTATTTTGTCAACTAGCACATGACGAATAGCAAAACAATAATTTTGAAACCGACCATCATTTAACCTCGGTACTATAATAATCAACATTCGTTTGTATTGAAAATATTAATGAGATATTAAATATAATATAATAATATACTCGTAATTATCATTAGTATTGTTATATACAATCTTAACTATATAATCAGACTGTTATGTATATTATATATCACTATATATAGTTACATAATTGCTGTGTTGATTGTTATTATAATACATAGTGTAATTAAGATATTAAAATAACTTTTCAAAAATAATTGAAAGCTTCTCGCACTTTAAAAATCTAAAATTTTTTCTTCATCTGCATGCTTGTGAAAGCTTTTACAGGCTTTGATGATTTACCAACATTGTTTTCTGTTATTCAGACTGGATTGCTGCACATAGGAGAAAGTTGGAATTGAAGAGAATTAGAGATGAGGCCTGCGAGAAGCTCAAAGTTTTGGGGAAAGTCAAGGTGAAGCTGGAAGATGCGAAAGCTGGTTTAAGAAGGACGAATCGTAAGCGGCAATTCTGTGATGGTGTCGTTCCTAACGAGCCAATGACTACCGCAGCAGTAAGTGGTGATGGTTACACTTTTTCATGACACCTTGAACAGGCTATCTTAAGCCTTCCGCAACGGAATCTGTCTTCTTGAACATATGGTGTAGTGTTTTTATAAGAGGTAGTTGTGTAATAATATTCTAAGGGGAAGATTTTAAGCAACGTATCCTTATCTTACATAGATCGTTTCTTTTGTTTTCGTTGTTGACTTGTTGCTGTTTTCGTTTTGGAGAGATTCGAAGCTTTTAGAGAGGTGGGTGATAGCCGCGCATAGCGCAGATATAAAAAAAACGGTGTCATAGAAGCACTCACTTCCTTCTTTACATGAGGGCATGGTTGATCTCCGCAGGGGCCTTGCCATTCGGCGACTTCAATGTCCAATGGCGATTTTACTTTTGTGGAAATATATTTCCATGGGAAGTACTTGTGAATGGGAACGCAGTACAGCAGTTCTAATTCTAGTTCCGATTTCTTATTCCAATTTTCTAACCTTATATTCTTTTTCTGTTTGCCTTTCTTATTTTAGTCTTAGCCTCTTCAGTAACAGATTTCTGATGGTTTTCTTTGCGGACCTGTTTATTAAAAAAGGAGTGGAACATAGAACGGCTCTAGTTCGTCTTCATAAATTGTACCGTTTGATTATGATTCACTGTGACTTTTTGACTCGGAGATTGGAGATGGACATTGTTTTTGCAAAGTGGTAGATTTTGTGTTTAGACGTAGGTACTACGTACTCTGTATAATAAAACCTAAGCCATGTTGTTCTCTTTACAGATATTGAGGTTTAATTCGTTAGTTAATGTCTTCTTAGTTCTGCAGCTCATGGCTTCCTCCAGGGTGCAAGAAGTTTGTCCCTTAATTAATGGTTTTTTCTGAAGTTCTCACGTAGCCATGCTAAGAGTACCTTCACACCAAAAGCGGTCACCTATCGTCATGGATCGTTGGGAGCTTTGTCGCTTTGCTGCTCTGTTTTTCCAAGGACTACACCAATTTCTGGTATAGTGCCTGGGCTTGAGAGTAGGTATACCGAACGCCTGCAATGGTATGGTAACGGTGTCGAGTAGAGGATACGGTTGTTGGATATTGTGGTGCTGTATTCAGTAATGTGACCGCGATTACGCGAACCACTGAAAGAAGCCTTTCAAACACTTACCCTAATTTGGCAACGGTCTTTTCGCTGAAGTTTTAGATGAAGAGTATTCTTCTCCACATGGGATGTCTTTACAACCGTGTTTTTTTAAGGATTGTGATGCGCCAGAAAACTATATTTCTGAGGACGAATTTGAGTCGAACAATGAGGAACCTTTAGAGGTTGTCAAAATATTTTATGCATCACGTACTCATTCCCAGCTTGATCAGGTTCTGAATGAATTGAAGAAAACCAGGTAAACACTTTGCTTATGTATTTTTTCTTTGCGTTTCGCTTTTTTTACAAATGATATACCTAGGATAAATCAGCTGTATTCGTAGGTTTTTGCCTCGTGTTGTAACTGCGATTTCTCGACAAACATTATGTGCGAATGAAAATGTACGCCGCTTAAAATATAGTCATTTAATTAATGAAAAATGTATGGAACTCCGAAAAACTTGCAGCGAGAAGGAAGAAGGAGCGAATTTCGATGGAGAAACGGTGCGCTTTTTTTCTGACTCACATTTCATAACGATATTTTGACTGCTTTCGGTTTCGGTAAATCTAAATACGTTCTTACGAACCGCCCTACTTGAGTTGATGTGAACCTCGCGCCAGTTCAAATAAAGTAGTCCTTAAGAATATGTAGAGATATATGGATTATTTATGCCGAGGATTATAGAAATTCGATCTTTTGGTTCATTTAGAATTCGGTAATTGGTAAACAAAGCGGAAGCAAATGTCCATACTACAGAAGAGACGCAATCGAAGAGTTATCGAATGAAATACTAGCTACTACGCTTTTAAGACCAAATGAGGTGTGAAATGTAGAGGTTTGACTTATTCACTTTTATAGATGCTGTGAATTTCTTAACGTAAACAAATGTTTCATGTTTCATTTTAAAAAGAATCGAGTTTAGTTCGTTAATTCAGTTGTCGTGTTTTTTGTTTTAAACCTTCAGAATGTTCTATAAAGTCTATGGATGAAGAGTAGAAGTATTAATAGATTCTATATCTAAAACAGTATAACCCACATAGGTTGTGGAACGTGGAAAACAGTTAATGGCGTGTCCGTACTTTTCTACCCGACTTTCATTGCCACTCTGTCAGCTAGTTTTGCTTCCTTACCAAGTGAGCCGACTTCTTTTATATCTGTTCAAAATCAGAACTTTTGGATTTCACATTGTTGAGAAAACCTTGGCACTAGACCACGGGGTTTTTATTTGAAAGATACCGTGTTTGAGAAACAGACATTGTCGTTACAAGTCGCTTTGACTTGGTTAAGTCTCTCAATCAAATACGTTCGGAATACAGTGAAGATAGTTCGATGTCGTTTCTATCAAATAGGGCTCAGCACACTCCAGGAATGTGATAGGGCGCGACAGCTACTCTTGGCTATTTTCCAAACTAAAGAAATGATTTCTGTCTACGACAATGTAACCCAATCAGATTACCCAAACATGATAGAAGTAAGCCGAATTATGGAATATGCTTGCTGTTGTTCGTGTTCGTAAGTGACTAGGAGTTATCGAAAATTCTGGCGCACAGGAGCAACGAATGGGGCCTGTAGTGGTACCTGCTGGAGTTGCTGACCTACCTGAATTTCATGGTACTATTGCTGAGTATTTTTTTTTTAAATGATACTGTTTTAGGTCGGAGTTATTTTTTCTGGATAAATTACTTTCATCGAAAAATTCCTTGAGCAAATAAATAACATGTTAATTCCGGTTTTACTACATGCTTCAACTCGAGAGGCATGGGGAATCCGCTTAAGAGGAAATGTGTTGGTTTTAGATGAAGCACACAACGTGTTGGAAACAATCGGTTGGTTCTTTTCATGACTTTGTATACTTAGGTGGTTTTGCTGTATACGTGTATTATCAACACAAAATCTATTGAGAAAGTGTTCTGTACCTGAAGGGTTTGACAAGCTTTCTTAGGGTCACTGTATTCGTCAGAAGTAACGTCGGTGTCTACCACTTTTGCCCTTTCTCTCATTCGTGAATACATTGATTTTTATAGGTAAATGTTCAGTACTATTACTACAGCGTCACGTTTAACTCTACATTTGATAAGCAGCTCTTTATTCAAAGGTGTTAGTCCTTAAATGCAGGTCTCAACTGAAATCAAAAAATCTGATGTATATGCGGCAACTATTGGTTGTGGTTGCTGCCATGGACCAATATTTGCGGAAAAATTCATCCCCTTCCGAGGAAGTTCTAACTGTCCAAGGGTTTATTATCGCGGTTAGTTTTATTATACCTCTTATATTTCATCCTATATTCTTTCATGTGTCTTCATAATTAGTGCTTTTTGGAACTTTGCATATGAAGTCCTATTTCAGTTGGGACTGACTGATGTGAACCTTTTTAAAATTGTGCATTATTTGGATGCAACAGATATGTGCAGGAAATTTCACGGTTTCTTCATTCGCGCAATGAGACCGAAAGTTTCTATTTCGCAGTCATCCGTTGCTCGAGGTGGAATTGCAAAACTGATGGCAGGAAAGGCCCCTGGTATTAGCTTGGTTTTCTCTTATACATTTCAACCGTTGTAGTGTAATGTAAAAATGGCGGTAGTTTTCATACATCTACTTCGTTTCTTTAAAGTGTATTTGTGGTGTGTGGCATTTTTTCTTTTAGAAATTAGAAAACCATCAATTGTGGACGATGAGATCCGAAATTTTCCTTCACCACTCTTCACTATCAAACAATTTTTGGAAGCACTGAGTAATCGATGTGAAGACGGAAGAGTAATAGTTGAGCGGAAAGGAAGCGCTGCTAAGTAAGAGATATAAGTTTGTTGTTAGTTTGGTAGTTTCATGAGGTTGATCAACGAGAAAGTTTTTTTTTAAATTACAGGTTCCGGTTTATACTTCTAAACCCTGCAACGCGACTATTGGAAGTGGTCAATGAATCACGCGCTACCATTCTCGTTGGGGGAACAATGGAACCTGCGGATTTATTGGTGAGCTTCTTGCTATCGAAAATCTGAAGAAATTGTTACAGTCGGAAGCGGAGTAAACAGCGTTTTTAAAGCGTCGCATCATATAAGCGCTTGTCGATAAGACATAGACTTGCCTTTAGGTTGATTGTTTATCGAGAGCTGTTAAGAATGGTATTCGACGCTTCTGTTGTTCGCATGTCATTGATGAGGACCAACTACTCGCACTCTCGCTTGGTTTGATTAAAACATTGATTTGCTTGATTATATGTCTCGGCTTTCTTTGTGAAACTCTCCCCAGAAATAAAATTTGTATTTATGAAAGCGCGATTACATTAAGACTCTCTTGGTCAGTTTCAAGGAAAGGGAAACTTATCCACCTGTTATGCCCAAACCGTTTTAAAATTAAAATACTGTTGTTCTATGTCAGGTTTCCACGTACGTAACGAAAAGTTCACTCTTACTTATGAAACACGGAACAATGTTGATCTCGTGAGTTATCTAGATATCATTTGTGCATCGAGTACCAGAGTATTATAGTGCAATTGTATGCCAGTGGTATAGTATACTTTTTATGTGTTTAGATAAAAGCAGTAGCGGAGAGTGTTATGTTGCTGGTGCGCGAAGTACCTAATGGCAGCGTTGCTTTCTTTACCAGTTATGACTACATGTCCCATTTTTTATCGATAATGGAGAAATTCAGAACTATCCAGTTGTGTGATGTGCGTCTACGTGTCTCGCGTAGTTTTATTCGAGTGTGATGTTATGTCTTTTTTCAAATAATGTGTCTTTCTGCTCCAGATGAGAAAGAATGTCTTCGTCGAATCTCGTGCCTCATCTGAAGAGATCTGGAATAAGTTTGTGGCAGCCAGTCGCATTCGTGAAGGCGCTGTTTTGTTTGCTGTGGCAGGCGGAAAACTTAGCGAAGGTATTCCTTTGCTGCTATAATTGTATCATTTTCAAATGTGTGCGAAGTATTTCAGTTCGACGTTTCAGGAGTAGGTTTTCCTTACACGATGTCTTTATTTCAATGTATTTTTAATTACGTTCTTATTCATTCCTTTACTTCTGTCAAAACTCCCTGTTTCTTTTTTATGGAACATGCCAACTTCTTTTCTATTTCTTTATTTCTCGTTTTCTCAGTTTACTCATTTTTATTCTGTATCTGTAAATGTTTATTATAGGAATCAACTTTAGTGATGAATTAGGACGAGCTGTATTTATGATTGGGCTCCCATATCCGAATAAAAATAGCGTTGAACTAACGGAAAAGATGAAGGTGAGTTTGTTTTTTCACAGTTGGACAAATAATCGAAATGTTCTGCTTTTTCCTCTTTTATCTCTATCGTATTAACCCATAACGCCCCGTATGGACGCAATAGTTTCTATTGTAGCTTAGACTAAACGAGCTTATGGACAATATAGTTTCCGCATCCTGGGTTCCACAGCTTTTTTTTTTTTACTGAACCGTGTATGCATTCTATAGCTAAGCGAACGAAAACATCGAAATATTAGGGATTGCACTAGAAAAGCTATTCTCTATATTAAGTAATTTACAAAAGAACAACTGCCATATTTTCCAGCGATGCACCCTATAATACGACACTTCAAAGAATACGCTATAGGTAGGAAAACAAGCCATCGAGAGGAATTTTAGATCTTATTTAGTGATAAATATATAATTGAGGCCAACAAAATTACGACTCATGTTCAGGAAGCGCCGGGCATCAAAAAAGTTGGTCAATCGCGTTGCTTGTTTGGAAACAATTCCCAATAGTGCTTAAATCAACTTACATTACCATCTGGAATCTTCACAGTTTATATGTTTTTTTAATAACAATAATTAATAAAACAGTAACGCTCTGAACTTTCGACTCATTGGTGATTTCCAGAACGAAATAGGCCACATAATTGTAAATCGCAGGGTTTGCCTAACCGATGTCGCTGTTATCTCAAAATTCTTCACGGCATCAGCCCACCGCCTCCTTCGCACAGGATTTTATTTCTTACGGAAAGGAGGAAAAGCCGCTAAATTCAAAAAATTTCGAAGATGCCGTTCTTGATAGCATTGGCCTCGAATACGATCAGCCCATTCAACATCTTCACGTTAGTGCTATGAAAGCTGAGAGTTACAAAGTCACCAAGAGAAGTTTGCCTCCAAAAACATTCCAGCTGATACACCAGCTTAAGTCCGAGTTTGCAAAACAATGCAGACAGGTGATAAAAGAAGGTGTTAAAGACAGAAGAATAGCAGCTGTAGTCGAACCTGCAAAGTCTGGGAAAGACATAGGCAAACGCCAATGAAACTTCGCCGATTAAAAAATCAGAATGAATGCACTTCGATGCCAGGCGGAACAGTTAGGGCTTTGGAAAAGGCACTAGAGAAAATCACTCAAGATTAATATTTCAACCTATTCAATATCCCATTCATGCTGCCCTTATATTAAATAAGAGAGGATGGGTGTGTTGTTCCACCGGTTTTCCTTTCCGAAATCTTTACATATTGAATAGGGAGGACTTGGCTGTCCATGGATTCTATTTATGCTGCAGTCTAAACTGTTTCAAAAGCACTCCATCATATTTTTGATAAGCAAGATGATGTCAGGTGTTACTTTATCCATTATTGACAAAGAAGCTGATGTTTCGGCGAATTTCGCCCTCCTTAGAGCCTTGAAAAGGTCAAGTTGACGGCAATCCACCAGTACCTCCTTTATCAACAGAGAGAATTACAGACCAAGATTTCCATTGCATTAAAAAGATAACAGCTTCCTTGCACACGCTGAATTCCATGAATCTTCTACTGAGTATTTCACGTGGAGACCAACCGCACAGAGTTCATATTGAGGAACTCTTAAATACCGTGCTAGATCACGTGTGACACCGAAACATTCCTCCATGCGATTCATCTTCGATTTCCTAGGACTTATCCATAATGCTCAGAGAGTTTTACCCACTGACGCTTTCGATTCCTGTGCGAGCATGGTAACTTCAAAATCTTCTCCATTATGCCTCTGTATCCTATGCACGCCTGTTGGAGTATTTGATTTAGCTTTAAGTTTACCGACTAGGTGTTCTTCTATACGGACGCAGAGTGATCTACTATTTTCGCTCCGAGAGAGTTCCTTAAATCGGTGAAAGTGAGACAAAGCGGTCTCTTGTATTGTCGCGATACTTCAATAAGTCTAGTTATCGTGTGGATGTAGTCCATCCTACTGAGTTTTTTGCCAAACCCTACTTGCTCACATGGCTGTCCTTTGTCCAGTGTTCTGTCAGTCATGCTTAAAATGACTCGTTTGAAAAGCACGATATCGTGATTACCCTTTCTGAACAATGACACAGTCTTGCTGGACTTTTATTGAACTGGAACCTTGCTTTGTGGCAGGTAACGTGTGAGGAGGCGAACCAGTGTATTGTTGAGGAAGCACTGGCTGAGGGTTCTCCAGATTTTCAGATCTTACTCTGTCCGGACTTGGTATTCCTCACTGTTTAAAGAGCATGCCGGGTTTGGAAAGGAGAATCGGTAGAAGGACACATCCATTCTCCTTTATTCTTTATGTGGGCAGGAGAACGTGGCCATTTGAAGTATGAACAGTAAATCGTAAATAGATTTCTCCACTGTCATTCTCGAAGCCATAGTGGTTACGTTTGGGCATCAGAGTGCAATCACCTTGGTTTTTTAATTGACGAAGCTTTGGTGGGCTTTGCCAATGCTTTTCCCAGTCTCTGCAGTTTCGATCATATCTGCTGGTCTTCTTTGTTTAATATCTTCATTTGTTACCTTTATGCATTATTTTACATATTCGGACGTGATTTGGCGGTTGCATGTAGCTCGTGCGATTACACGCTGGTATATCAGCTCGAGTGTTTCTGGAGACAAACGTCGCTTGGTGACTGAACTCTCAGCTTTCGCAGCGTTAACGTGAAGATGTTGAATGAGCGAATCGTATTCTTCGTCGATATTATTCAGAATTGCATCTTTCCAACAGTCGACTAATGAATTGATTAAATCCCCGTTTATGGTGGTTTCAGGACTTAGCTTTTTGAATTTAGCGGGTTTTTCCCTTTCAGCGGAAAATGAAATCTTGCAGGAAGGAGGTCATGGTCTGGTCCTGTGTAGAGTTTTCGTACAACAGCAAAATCGTTTAAACAAAACCTCCGATTTACTATGATGTAGTCTATTTAGCTATGGTACTCTCCAATGGGAGACTTCCAGTGTTGAGGGTGATGCTTCTCGAATTGCGACTTGAATGGTCTTAATCGTCATGATAAACTCAGACGGCCGCTTACTCTGTTCGTCCCATTCTAATCCGTGGATCGCAATGTGATATTCTCCAGACGTTCTTTTAGGTCCAGTCTCAGCGTTAAAATCTCCATTGGTGTTCTTGAAGAATGTACGGTCTTTTCTGTAGAGGTTCTGGAAGTCCATATAGAATACATGGAAGTCGTCTTCTTCATACTCGATATCGGTGTGTAAACGAGAAGATTGGCAAGGTCGGTATCGACCCACTTCTCTTTAATCGTAAACGTTTGCCTGGGCTTCTGGGTTCCCAGTGTGGTGTTCTCCAGACTTTCTTCTTGGTTAAGTCTTGGCGTTAAAATCTCCAATGATGACCTTGAAGAATGTATGGTCTTCTCTGTAGAACTTCAAGTCCACATAAAACGCTTTGACTTTGCTTTCGTCAGAGCATGCTGTTACGTGCATATATGACGAAGATTGTCAAAACCGGTATTGATGCACATCTCTTCAATCGTAAGCGTCTGCTTCTAGTTGTTAATTGTTCGAATGAAGCGGTGTTCATGGACTCGTGTTGGCGAGAACGCTGACACCGCCGACTCCTCCATTGTCGCATTTTCCGACGAACAATTCTATTCTGGTGTCATAGGCGACGTTGAATGGCTGGCGTCATGTCATCTCAGCCAGGCCGACGACATCGTACCTTATCCTTCTTGTCTGTAAGGTCAAGTCCTCCATCGAGCACTCAGTGGCAAGTGTGCGTGCATTGTAGGCACATATTGCTACTTTAGTTCTTTAAGATTTAGGCGCTCTAGAATAGCCATCAGATTTTAGCAATTTCTCCGTATTCGCCCTACTTAATGCTGCCGTACCGGAAGGTCTTTCGGGCTGACAGGAATGAGGTTCGTTCATTTTACCGGTAACGTTATGGTCGCAAAGATCCTGACGGCACTACTTCAGACTATATTGTTTTTGAGCTGCTTCCAATAACTTTTTCTGGGTGTACTGATGCAAATTCTCCTGAAAAGATCTGCAGCTGACATTTTTTATCAGCCGTCTTAGCTATGCTGCGGTAGTGTCAAGCTTCGTTTTCGTTCTCTTTTGTGGCAACTTAGTGATAAAGAAGATGCGGTTCAACTTCTTGTTCGAGAAATGAGGCGAGTTTGGTACAAGTTTTAAGCCCTTCGATAAACTGCATGTATTCCTCGGTCGGGTCTTCGGTTATTTGCCAGTCATATCAGGAGCGGATTTTATTGAGAATTTCCTCGTCATTCACGAATTGTTTCGTTTTTCTTGGACAGTGACAGTCCTTTTCCAACTTCTGGGTGAATTGGGTTTTCGAACGAAGAAGAAGCTGATCAGATCCAACACAGAATTCCGCTACCGCTGAGTTGTCCAAAAAGCACCATTTTCTGTTCGTGAGGATATGATCGATCTCCGCGGCATTACGAGACGACTCATGCGAAGGTATATACAGCACGTATATTTGCAAAGTGTAGAAAACTCACTCAAAACACTAAAAGTGGTAATGTTAAAATCCCCGTAGCCTCTTAATCTAACGAAAAAATCTGGCGCACTACGAAAAATCCCCGAGATGGCAGACACTCATTAGCAACGACTAATAGCACGGACGAGATTACCTGTTTTGTGCATCCGACGAAAAATTACTTGCTCTCGATTGGTTAAGCTAGGAAATAGCGGGACGCAATGGGTTAACAAGTTGTTCATGTTTTAACCGTGTATTTTTTTTACATTACATACGTTAAAGACCTGTCTACATAAACAGATTTAGTACATGGATTCTCGACTACAAGGTGGAGGAAGTCAGTTATATCAATCGTTATGTATGCATGTGGTTAACCAAGCTATTGGGCGAGCTATACGGCACCGAAAAGATTATGCCGCCGTTTATTTGTTAGACTACAGGTGTTGCTAATCTTTCCAATTTTTTTCGAAGAAGTCAAATATTTGTTGTATTTTGCACAAGCGGGTCCGACGTTTTATCTTTCAAAACCTCAACTTGTTATACATAGAATTCCAGGTATACACGACAAGATGTGATATCGAGACTTCCTGGCTGGATTTCTAAAACGATAAAGTGTCCGAATTCATTCTCAGAAGCTTTAGCATCAACGAAAGCATTCTTTCAACATAAAAAACATTAGCACTATCCGAATAATGTTGAGTTACGAGTATGAACTGTCTCAATCTCCTTCTATGCCCCATTTTTTTAAAATACTGAGCAATGAAGTAATGCTCTAAACTGAGCTAACAATATCTATTCCTTTCCAATCTTTTCTCACTTTTGGATGTTCTCACCAGTCACTTGTGAAGTACAATAACCTGTCCTCGTTGTATGATCTCTACACTCTCCGGTTTAGTAAAATAAGTTTATTATCTAATTTTTCCTCTATTTGAGAAGTAATAGTAACAATACCGATCATAAACTGTTGAACTGACTGGCGTAATAAGTACTACGTGCAGAAACGACCAGAAATGGATAAAAGCTATCAGTTTTCGGGTCAGTAATTGAGTCCACATTTCTTCTTAACTTTTTGAACAACTACTACAAAACATTGGTATTCTTCCTTTCATTGTTCAGCTATGACTTCTATCTTGCGAAATCTTTCCAGTTTTCATCGGGAGAACATACATAGCTCAATGTACATCGTAAGCCAAAATAACGCTAATCGGTGGTTGGTTGAATTGTACGAGTCATTCTGTTCAATATACAGCAGAACACGTAAGAATTTCGGATGATAAAACTTACAAAGTTACAAAAAGTTTCTATACATGCATCAGGTAAAAAAGATGAGCTATGATATATTTTAATAAGCATGGAAGATATCTTTTTCCTGTTTTAAATACTGTAGTGGGAAGCTTGAGGTGATTAGTACATAAGTGCGGATGATCGATACCCACCGATATCCACGACTCAAGATCTGAAGTGTCTCAAGAGTGTACATACAATAACAAGACAATTGTATAGAACCTAATGAAGCGTCTGATTTTGGTTCGCCCGACACTAATTTGGACTTTTCAGTTGGGTACGAAAAAGTGCCATGAATGCGTGAGTTAAGTACAGAGGAAGTGAAATGCAAATAAAAAACATGCTAGTATTGCTAATAGAAGGAACCATATCAAGGTAGGGTTTCGCTCCAATACGCTCTCATATCACAACAATTTACAAACATCAAAGGAATAAGAACGAGAAACATCACTGCAATACTATGTACGCTCAAATGATGTATATACGGAGGAATAAGAACGAGAAACATCACTGCAATACTATGTACGCTCAAATGATGTATATACGGTAATGTCATCTAGCTAAGACATCCTGACTTACATAGCTGTCCTGTATCGATATAGCTTTGAGCGTGGTTCAATATGGTTTGAAGAGGTACGGAAACTTTCCAGGACGTATAGAACTCTTGGGACAATGAAATTCTCTAATGACAACACATCGACAGACCTGCATAGAATTCACGACGAATAATATTGAAATCCTTGTTTAATAATGACACGGATGTCAACGAGTAATTACAACGGTGCCATTAATTCCATCACAAGCTTTCGGCTATGACAATACGCACCGACAGCATCCACCGCGTTTCCGCTTTGAAAGTGAGTCTAAAACCATAATTTTCAGCATTAATATTGATATCTTAATAATACTACTCTCTTAATCTCTTGACTTATCACTGTCTTGCTCTGGCAAGAGGTTTTTGAGTGCTGAACTACGATGTGAAACGAGAACTCCTTGTTTTCGACAGGGTCACGCAAGCAGAGAAAGATTTCGATATTTCGCACTATATTCGAGAAAATTTTCCAATTTGGAGAAAACCTAGTTCGGAAAATTCCACCGACCCGAAACAAATCGGAAGTAAAAGATCTATTTCCGGACCTGAATGCCGAAAAATCACTTGTGAGCGATTTAGCACGGCAAAATGGAAACTCGAAAAATGATTTTCTGAACGAGCAAAAATACTGTTTAGAGAGAAAACTGCTGAAGCCCACATGAGCAGCCAGTGTGAACTATTTAACTATTGCAACGAAAAATTTGAATAATTTTATTTCCCAGAGACTAAATTTGTTAAGAATAAAAGCTTCTCAAATTTTAGTACTTTAAAGTTTATCCATAGTCTTAACATGCAGAGAACATTAGTGAATCAAGATGTTGTTTTTAGAACAATGTTTGCTAAATGTTTCAGATTTCGGAAAAGAAAAAGCCGCAACATAAACAAGGTTGCTACTAAACACTCTAGCTGCTGATGACGTAATACTTTGCTGAACATCAAATCTAACCAACCATTCGAATTGGGTTCGGGTAGATTTTCTCGTGTCACCAAGTGCATGACAGTGGTCTTCCCTTGCGGGAGATTCAGTGCATTGAGGGTGACGGAGCCGTGTAAAAATCGGCCGTGATAGATGAGCTTTAGCATGGAAGCCGACTCCACCTTCTCGTCCGCCCACTCTAAAACACTGAACACTAGCAAGGATTTCAAAAACCAGCCTTCCGTTAACCTAAGTATGACTGATCAGCATGTCTTCTTTCGTTGATAAACCGACATGAAGTTAATAAAGAACCCTACTAGGCTAACATTTTGGCTCATTCGCCTTCCTCACAACCGGATTGATCCGTGTCGATTGTCGGCAGTTCTTCGTTCTTCCAATACGCATCTTCGCCTTCGCATCAAATCGAATGCTGCTGAACACCACTCGAAAGAATAACCTCACTCGGCTGTGCTATTTTATACAGAACGGTTGTTGTAGATAGTGACTGCCCCATGATGATGGTTCTTTGAAATATTGTGACACTCTGTGCTAGCTGATAATGACACCGACTGTTGCAGGATGGATTGTCGAGTGAAGAGACCACTGCCGGGTGAGGTTCTTCATTCGAGTGGTAGTCCACTGGATTTGACTCAATGTCATCAGGAATACTCAAAATGTACTCCGGACAGTCGACTCGAATCAATCGGGAAGGCAAAGGCGTTGAAACTTCAGCTGAATAAAGCTCTTTATCAATTTCGTGTTAGCTTACTAATGAAAGAATACACGTTGACTATAAAGTACTGATTAGGAAGATCACTAAAATTTCTTTTAATTACCATTCATTTCCATAAATTCTTGAAATAGACGACCAAATTCATTGAATTTCTAGTAAAACACTGGACTTAGAAAATATCGGATTTGTTAGAGATCAAACGACCTTCTAAACAGCAATCCCATTACTCAAACATGACCTTTGTTTGGTTCTATGCTGATGAATGTTAGCGAAAATTCATTAAAAACAAAGTGACCCTTTTCTGGACAGTTACCAAAAACTGTTATTTATCACCACAGCTGCAACTAAGAGATAAATCTAACTAATTTTGGATACTAAGACGTATATTCGAAAACAAATAAGGTAGAACAGGTGTGATTTGACTACAATTCAACCTTCACTGAACTGAACTACGCATTTGTGCATACACACTTACAACTAATTACTAACTCCGGACCTCAGGTGGGAAAGAACGCGCTATTACTTTTTTCGGGAGCTAACGCATTCACCGCGTTGTATTTCGCATCATACTCTGCCATGAAAAATTATAGTAGGCAGCTAATAAAAAGCTGGAATTGTGATTTCAACTACACCTCACCTGGGTTCAATGCCAATTTGGGGTCTCAAGAACAATCCCGCTTACGAATGACTGCTGACTGAATCGATTAATAGAACCAGCTGAGAGGAAGGCCAAACGAAGGATCCGTATGGTGCGATGGTGAAGCGGTGGCCAACAGAAAGGGTAACAGTGCTTTCGTTTCCCACCGCAGACATCTGCTGTTCGGAGTTTTGCAAATATCTCACCATCATTGTGGTTGTATTCCGCATCATATTCTTCCGTGAAAAATTAAAGTAGGCAGCAAAAAAATTAAAGTAGCAAAAGTTAGTATTGTAATTATTAACTATTAAGACTTGGACAGACATTTAATTAGTAATAAATGTAGTTATAACGCAGTAGTTGGAGGCGCTTTGCAATACACATGGGATCGATCCCGCGCCCGAGGCTCACCAAGCTTTCCAACTCTCCGGGGTCGGCAAATTGGTACCAGACTTGTCTGGGAGGATAGCAGCATTGATTCGATGTATCGGTAAGCACCGCGAATCATTGCAAAGGCCAGATATGCATTCAATCACCTCTAATGCTTAATGAAGTCAGGTGCATGGTACATCCCTCAAGGATTGATCAATGCCGAGAGCTTTATCCCTCTTTTTAGTTGAATACTGCTACAAACTCATTACGGATGATTGAACTCACGCGATGATGATTACGGCAAAATAAAATTGGTAACGCAACCTTTTGAGAGGATAGCAGCATTGACTCGATACATCGGTAGGCCACCACGAGTTATTGTAAAGGCCAGATAAGAATAGAATTCAATCACCTCCAACGATACTTAATGAAGTCGAAAGCATGGCGCATTTCTCAGGGATTGATCAATGCCGAAAGTTTTATCCTTTATCCTTTATTTGTAGATTATCAACGGCTTGTATTAGTCCGCAAAAATTAACCAAGCAAGGATTAAAGACGTCATTAACTAAAATTAGTCCAACGCATTTATATACCTGTACTTTCTATTTTTGTAATTATTTATGGTGTATCTTTACAATTTTCTAACTGACGTTGGTTTCTCGATAACTGCCGACAGTTTTCGAGAAGTGTAGTCCATAATTACCTGGAAGCTCGGCAGTCTCATAGAAGAGATTTAGCTATATCGCTTCAAGAGCATTTGCAATCTTTCTACGATAATAACTTAATTCTAAATTTATTTACGATCCTAATTTACGAAATATTGAAGTTATATTTACATTATTAAAACGTTGAATGCATTTGATACGCCAAAGACACCGAACACGTATCGGATTTAAGTCCATTCACTGTTCCACACCCGAATCGCTCGGGGAAAAAAAAACTAAAAAAAAACCCGAAAGAAAAACGAAAAAAAGAACAGCGTTTCCGAAACCCTTGAAAATTACCATTTTCTCTCGGCAGAATAAAAAAAAACTTTATTGTTGATAAAGGCCTTTGCACTATGATGATCAATACTCCTACTAATAAGTCTCACTAACAGTTGAGCTACGAACGCCTAAAATGGGAATACGCAACTATGCTTAACCTCATGAGTTGAAACACGGACCTTCTTCACCGGAGATCATCAACCGGTTTGTCGCGGAGTGGCGGATATGAGGTCAGGCGCGGACCAGAAGCGAGCTTGCACTTTGCCGCCTAGGATATAGACTTCCAATTCCTCGTAGGCGGATTTAATATATAACTTTCGTACCTACGTAAATACGTTCATGCCTGCGTATTGTTCGCGTTTATACATATTGTATTCTAAAAGTTAATACAGCTAAAGAAATCCGCAATCAAGTGGCTGGGAAGCATAGTAAGGCGGTCAGAAGGGACTTACAACAAATAAGCTCCATGCATACCCCGAAGAAGTGTGGAAAAACACCCATTGCAAATGCGACCCCATTACTAGAGTTTGGAAAGGTTCTGTGTGTACTAATCAATAAACAATGGAAACTATCTAATTCGCTTTACTCTAGAAGAATCTTGGATATGTCAACTTTGAAGAGACCGACAGAATGGTAAAATCACAATATCATTCTCGGCTGGCTAAATCTGGTTAGACTACGGTGGTGTACTGTCGTTGCAACGCAAGGAAAACACGGAGAATCTATGGGTAGCCGCAAGATTCAACGACCAAGCAAGACGGTTGACAAATGATAGATTGAAATCAAGTCGTATGCTGTTACTAAACCGACTCTCACTTAACCTCGGCGCAAATAATCAGTATATTTCGTTGAACCGTTTAGCATACAAACGCTAAAACTAACGACTGAAGACCATCGACTCAGATCATCGGCTCTGTGGAAGACGACGACCTCGTAAACTTGACCGAATAAAACTTGCATAACAACCTCGTATAGCTAAACAATCCATTCGTATGCTAAGCAACCCCATTAAGATCTTTAGTGACTGCAACAAAAATCACTATATTCAACACAACTTTCACAAGGCGATGCAATTTCTTATCCCATGTGGGTGAGATTCTGTTTTTATGGAAGCAATTGCTTTCCCAATCGTTATCGTTTTTCTCATTTCTTTCAGTTTTTTTCACTACGAGCACTATATCTGGGAACAAAAAACAAGCAAATGAATGGAAGATGGGCCAAAAGTCGTTAATAAAGCTGTTTACCGAGCTTCCATTGAACGCTTAGAAAGTTCCTTATTGTTTAATCACCTGTCGATGTTATTTTGAAGAATTTCAAAATGAAAGTAGCATTCTTTAAGGGCTTCACATACGTCAGACATAGCAAATCAGCTTTTCACCTTTACAAATAATCTGGTTATCGACGATTTATCCAGTAGTTACAGGAAAACCAGCATGGTTATAAAAGTATTATCCAATATTCTCCAGATAAGAGATGACTTTCCCCAATAAACTCCATTTAAGGGAAAACAGGGTTAAATTAGAACTATTCAGTTTATTCACGGAAAACAGCTGAAACGCACAACAATACCTCTCTACTTGTATCTACTTTTATCCAAGAACACTGTGTAATTAAATGGGGGAAAAAAAGGAAACTCAACTAAAAAGTCAATTTAGTAGGGAAAGAAAAATCTACAGGAAAGCAACTTTTATATTTACAGTGACTTTTATTTTTAAGAGGCACTGGCAAAACAATTCACTGTAATAACAGTGATGATAACTACAATGAGTGACTTCTGATGGCATTGTTGGATAAAAAAGCAGCCGAGCGAAATACGAAACGAAGGATCCACGCGGAGTGCTGGTGAACACACTAGCTCCCGGAAAGAGTAATAGCGGGTTCGATCCCTATTGCGGATACCTGCGGTCCGGAGTTTTGCAAATATCTCAACATTTTTAACTTATTATTTACTGCGTACTCTTTTTAATGACAGGGTATATTGCGAAATATAACGCCAACGATGCTGAGATATTTGCAAAACTCTGGACCGCAGGTGTATGCGGTGCGGAACGAACGCGCTATTGTCCTTTCCAGGGAGTAATGCGTTCACCACCACACCATGCGGGTCCTTCGTTTCGCCTGTTTCTCAGCTAGTTCTATCGATCTCTGCCATCAGCTATCACCCGTCAACGGGATTGATCTGGGGAGCCCAAATCGGCAACGAACCCAGTTAAGCTAAGGCTGTAGTTATAATCACAATTTTAACTTATTATTTACTGCGTACTCTTTTTAATGGCAAGGTTTATTGCAAACGCGCTATTGTCCCTTTCGGGGAGTAACAGAGTGATTGCTGATGGCAGTGATCAGAGACTAGCTGAGAGACAACCAAAACGAAGGACCCGCATAGTGTGGTGGGGAACGCGTTACTCCCCGGAAAGGACAATAGCGCGTACGTCCCCATCGCAGACACCTGTGGTTCAGAGTTTTGCAAATATCTCAGCATTACTGCGGCTGAATTTCTTACAAAAACCTGCTATGAAGAACTACAGCAGGCAGTAGATACAAAGGTTAACGTAGTGATGATAACGATTAAAAGACGAAAGATATGAATAATCGTTGAGAATTTGCTACGACCAGAAATCATTTTAACGAAATATTTTTAGCGCAGAAAGTAGCTAAAGAGGCGGAATAAGCTCACCTTTAGGCCACAGTTCAAACACCTTTTGCGTAACTTCATGGGCTGTTGTCAGTGGGTGAAATTGGAACTCGTGCGTTAGACCGCTCACCAAAATCAACCGCAATGTGACCTAAAAGTTCGAAATTTTACAACTCAATTTAAAGCTCAGTGCTTGTTCTTTTAAAGTTCATGCACTTGATTCAATCTACTCCATCATAAATTTATTAGCTAATTAGGAATTTGAGGTTTAGTCGCTCTAATAGGACGCCTTAAGCGCTGGTTCGATAATGTGAAAAGTGCACATCTCACAACAAACCCCATTGTAATTGATGAGGTAATAATGGAATAGTGCTTTTGAGTTTTTATAAACGAAATCCAATCGACCAATGAATAAAACAGATAACTCTCTGGACAACTGTGTACATTGATACACCATCTCCGTTGTAGAAATGGGCTACAAACTGGTCACAGAGCATCCCGGTACCCCGCTCAATGCGTTAAGCCAGTTATGCCGTCAGAGGATACGACCAGTAGTGAGAGGTAATGACTGCTTTTCACACGGTGCCTATTGAAATCAGTTCAACGAAAGACGAAATGCTTCGAAACTTCGACTGTATCCCGCTTTTCATAGAAAAGTTCGTCGACAACTCAAACATCAATATTCATGTGCTTCACCACAACACACCACATTCTTCTACACGGCAAACCAGAACTGCTCGGAATAAAACAAAACAAGTAAAATATAAAATATCGTATACAAAACGTCAAAACTCTGAAGAAGGCGAAATCACCAAAGCGAGAGCAATGATGATCCAGGAACAAGTGATAGCAACCTCATATTTCCTCAACAAGAACAGTTCGTAAGGTGTTACCTAGTTATCAAATCTGAGATCCATTGAAAGTCGGTCTTTCCTTTAAACCAGAAAAACGAAAAAAGAAGTGTGGTAACTAAATAGTACAACTCCTAACATATCTAAAACGATGGTTACACAACTCGAAACTCCAGACGTGAGGTTTTCCTGCGCAACTGATACGACAGAGTTCAGATTCGCTCGGTTACATTTGAGTGGCGTTTCTCAAACCAAGAACGTCTCACATTTCCATCGTTATAAACCTGATCCAAGGAATGAGGAACATATAAGAAGCTGAGTACACGATTGGAAAGCTCTGCACGGATGGTTATCAGAAGAGCTTTTATAGTGTAGGTTGCCTATAGTGCCTCTTAGTGCCAACTATCCTTAGTGTTTGTTTCGAAGTATAGAAGTATGTTGCTTGAGGTTACTGCACAAGGATAAAATTCTTTCTCTATTTTTTAAAGCTGAGGGAGAGGATATCACAGTGGTAGTGGTGTCTGTCATGATGAGCGTGGTGCCAGTTCGATTCCGTTCCGGATCAACCAAGTCTCTCATCCCTCGGGAGTCGAGAAACTGACACCGGATTTATCTTCGAAAAAAAAATCACCCTCTGCAATACAAATGGGGTCGCTCCAGCCTGGCTACCTCAGGACTCCAAGGAGAACTGCTCGACCAGCATACTACGACATCTAAGATGAAATGAAAATCCTCAAGCAGCAACCGAAGCCACACGTAAAGTTGAAAGACATTCATGGACAATGGATGCGACGAAACGAATCGAATGTGAGAAGTCCTTGGATCCGCACAGTAAACGTGAAGAAAGGTCAAATAAAGTGAAAAACAAATAAAAATTATTTAAAGCTTAAACGAAATGAGAAAACTAATTGCAATGGAAGAGAACACTATGGACGAGTCCTTACACTAGTCCAACTAGTAAATGGAAAAGGATGTGATGTAGTGAAAGAAGACGACCTTGACTTAATTGACAACGTATGCCGCATATGCTGCAACAGTTTCCAGTATTTTTATTTTATTTTATATTATATAACCTGTTTTTACGTCTACAATGCGGATCCCAGCCCTTCTCACATTCGATTCGTTTCCTCGCCTCTTTCATCCACGAAGGCCTTCCAACTTTTACGTGTGGCTTCGATTGCTGCCTGAGCATTTTCATTTCAGCTTTGGATATCACAGAATGCTAGTAGAATCGATTTTCCCTGAAGTCTTGGGATAGCCGAGCTAGAGCGTTCCCAATTCGATTCCAGAAAGTGATTTTTTCCCGGACAAGTCCAGTACCAATTTCCCGGCCCCGGGGGATGCGGGATTTGGTGGGCCCGGGGAGGGATCGGACCGGCACCGTGTCGTGATGGATGGCATCACTACCACTGTGTTATTCACCACCCTACTAACAGTATTAACATCATAGAATAAACCTTCACGATCATAGAATGTGACAAATCTATCCTCTGTATCTAATGGCTTAGTTTTCACCAATATGCCTTGTAGGAATGCAAATTGACTTCGCGATGGGAAATTGTAGAAACATGTCTAGAGAAAGCACATAAATGAACTTCGATGAAGGATTTGGGGTGACGTTTCTCTTCGAAAGTTTGACAAACACAACTTGTTTACTCAGTGCATGACCTCAGCATTAAGTCAATAAAAACACGTCTCCCATCTGCGTCTATAGTTAGTTAGTTATATGTGCACTTATCCTTAAAAGAAAAGTAAGAATGCAATAAGGTTACACTTTCCGGAGTCGATGGCGAGTCTTTCGAATCCTTACTGCTCATCGGCGATGATCTAAATAGAAAATTTTTCAAAAACAAATTTAAATACAAAGTAAATTGTGATCTCAGTGAGCTTAGAGATGACTGCTTTCAGTTTTTCACGAGTTTGGGACATTTTGCCTACAATGTTTATGTCCGAACAAAACGAATCAACAACTAGTCGAACTTCAAATAACAGAAAACAACAACGAAGAGGAAAAGAAAGCTAAAGGATCGTAGTCATTTAGCTCCCATCAGTGTTTTCAGAACCCCTTCTTTTTTTTTTCTTTCTTAGTCTACCATCTAAAGCCATCCCGCTGAGAATCAGGATCATACAAACCAGCTCCGTACGGTCCCAACCAACCAGCCAGCCTATGATTGAAGTCACGGAGGTGCCAGAAAATTGAAGCAATTTTTATAGAGGAAAAAGAAAGAACGAACCTAATTCACTTCTGTCTTTCATGTTACCCAAGCAATAACAATTCAATAGCATAGAGTTTTTCTATAGGTAACGGACTTAAATAACGTAGTTCGAAAAGGTCTCAGTAGATTCTTGACTGTAAGGAAGCGATCCTCGTTGGAAACAGAGCTTTACGACAGGTGACTTTCGTGACAGTAAGCTGGCCAAGTGCCAACTTTTCACTTTCCAAAAACTTCCCAAGCACCTCGGCTCACCACATAACTCTTCGTTGGCCTCGCAAAATGGTGAGAAAGCTAGTGAAGTGAGCTCCGTTTTAAGAAAACTCACAATATCCCTACCTGTTTCCTTTGAAAACTCCTAATATATCTGAACGTTAGTGCAGAAGTTTAGTGAATAAATTGACGACACTGTGAAGTGGTGGTGGTGAAGGTGGTGGTGAAGGTGGTGGTGGTGGGTGGTTCAGGCACTCGACGGTAGACTTTCTTTCAGAATTCGATGCGACCCAGTCCTGTCGCAGTGCTACCGAGAGTCCTTAGAAAGGCATCGGGAACGATCAGCTGAGACGCGTGGCGAGTCGTCGTCGTCGTCGTCGTCGACGTCGCGCACGGGCGATCGATCCGCCTTGGGCGTGGCAGCAACGGTCATACAGCGCAAGAGAGCGCGCGAACGGCCGAGACGTAGTGCACGACAGTCGATCGATCGCGGTGGCGTTTCTGCGGCCACCTTCTTCGTCGTCAGCCATCTGGTGGACGCCGTCACTGGACGAAGAGAGTCAGTCGTAACTCCTTTGTTGTTGTTGTTTTCCACCGAAGTTATGTGGACGCCAGATGGCAACACATATGGCTTGACATACTGTAACACAAACGAAGCTTATCTGAACAAACCGGACTGCATTCGTGATTAATAGTGATCGTTATACCGCTGGAAACTTGGTCATAATGTCGACTGTCGACTCAATCCATATATTACAATAACATCGAGCTGGTCTAACCTCAGCCTCATTTAAATGACCCCGAAAAACTAACGGTTTGATAATCCTGAGCGTGGGTTGAACTAGGACGTAATAAGTACGAGTACACAACAGTGTGATACGCTGATCTTTATGCTTTCTCTCCATTCTATCTATTCATCGTATTTATCTCTTTCCATTTCTTTTCTTTACCTCTCTCATCTGTTTATGATTTCACGGCTATTGTTTATCTCTGACAAGATCTCGTTTCATTCTTCGGGCATCTTCTTGATTTCCTTTTCATTTCACCTTTGCCTTATTTCTTCTGCAGTTTTCTCGTCTCTTTAACCTCTCCATCACTTGCTTCTCTATCTTATGCTTTCTGTTTTTTTATTACTCCTGCATTCTTCCATACCTATACATCGCCTTCTTTTTCCTTCCTTTCTTTTTTCATCTCTCAGCTTCTTGTCACTCGGCCTTCTCTGCTTTGTCTACACATTCCAGTTTTAGGTATGCGAAACAGAAAAGTTACTTCATAATCTCTCAAAGAGGCATTTCACTATAGTTAAAAACTTGCCAAGACAAGTGAGAAGAAAGGAAGGACATCTTTATTCCTCCTGGTACTTTTTTGTACGAAAGTCAAATATGTACCTACTTGAATACTTCTGTGGCAATTCTCTAGGACGCGTCAGTGTAGCCACTTTGAACTCTTCCCATGAACGACTCATTCACCCTTCGTTTTGCTTTTACATTTGCATTTTCATGGATTTCAGTTTGAGGAGACGTCGTTGAAGTACTGTGGCTTGATGCTCGGAATTCACAATGTAGTTGTGGCGTAAGCCTATGCCATGTATGTACAGAAGAACTTTAGGAAAGTGGCATCACCTTTGTGATCGGTAGTTTTTTGAGCGGATCGAACGCACCTCAGTCTAAGTCTTGTATACCTTCGATGCAACTCGCTGAAAATCACTTTTATACTTACATGTTTATGGGGCGGATAGCACTGTGGTAGAGATGTCCGTCATCACGAGCACGGTACTAGTTCGATTCCGCTCCGGATCAACTAAGCCTCTCATCCCTCCTGGGTCGGAAAATTGGTACCGGACTTGTCTGGGAAAGAAATCACTCCCTGCAATCCCCTTGGGACCGCTTCAGCCCGGCTATCTCAAAACTCCAGGGAGAATTGCTCGACCAGCATTCTATAACATTCAAGATGAAATGAAAATCCTCAAACAGGAACCGAAGTCACACGTAGAACTTGGAAGGCCTTCGATGACGATGGATGCGAGGAATTGAATCGAATGTGGAAAGTGCTGTGATCCGCACAATAGACGTGAAGGCGGATAAAATAAAACAAAATAAAATAGAAACACCTGTATGTTCGGTCCAGATATGTTCTGCGATAAAAAAATAAATCTTTGAAATAGTGGAGTGTTTCTTTTATTAATGTTACAACGGGCATTATTTTGTTTAGTTCAACTTTGTAATAACTACGAATCTTCTTGATCCATACGGTTTCATTCCAGTGTTATAGTAGCACGTTCCCAATTATCTTGTGTTGTGGCGAGCGTAGCGCAGTGGTTAGCGTTTCTCCGCAATATACCCATGCTCTTTTCTTCAATCTCACGTTTTGGGCATACCAAGCCTTCCGTTCCACCGTTAT